AAACTGAGACTGGTCATGTGAGATCCATCCTCAAAGCAGCTAGCGTCAGATGAGTGTGGCCAAAAGCCGTCAAGCCTCAGCAGACTGCTGGCGGAGGACAGGTGGTGAGAAAACTAGCATTCCAAAGACCAAGGAGGACAAATGGTGCAAAAATTCTTTCCAATAATTTCACTTCATTTAATGTAGAGTTAAGGCCAGCGCACATAAAAATGCACACCAAGATACACACCTACACACTTACTCCTACCTTGGTCTAATGATGTGGTTAGCACATTAAAGCAATACTTTTGCAAAAAAATTATAACCATTCAATTGTAATCTTAACCCTCATCCTAACCCCAAAACAAAACCCAATTTCCCCCTTACTACAAATCTGTACTACAAAGACAGGGGTGGCGAAACTGTGGTCCTAGAGGGTCAGGGTCCAACACAGCTTGGTGATTTTCCTAATCTAACTCTCCTACTAAACTTGGCAATTAGCTGCTGATTTGAATCAGGTGTGTTTGAGTAGGAAAATCACTGAAGTGTGCTGTCCTGAACTGGAGTTCACCACCCTTGAGCTAAGACAAGTTTGTTTCTTTAGTTTTGCACTGAAGCTACGAAGCTATTGTAGCTAACAAGTAATGGAATACCCCACCAGTTAGCATCAGGCAAAATGTATGCCTACCATTCACTTGTCTTAAACCACATTGTGTTAAGTAATCTCAGACTTGCTTATGTGGTTTGTGACACTGGAAGTCATGCAGCTAAATGCAGTGATAGTTATTATCTTAAAGCCTGAATTTCATACTTTTGTCCATTTTAGAGACCACACATGCAAGCTATTTTATGTGACATTACTTTTGAGGCAAATTTGTGACTATTTAGGCTTGCACTGTGCACAGCGATGATTGGCAGGCTAGCTTTTGTTACTCAGCTACTTTAGCCTTGTGGTTCCAATGCAAAATTAAAGAAGAAATTTTATACACCAAACATGCATTGGCTGATGGACTACATTGGGGGTAAGGGGAAAATTGTGTGAATTTGATCTTCTTTGCTGAACTATTGCTTTAAGTGGAAGCACAAATATTCCACTTAGCTGAGCAAAATTTTAAAAAATGAGGTGGAAATCACAAAAAATGTCAAGACCAGCCAAATAAAGTCTTTGAAGGCAGACACTGGGACATACTTTTACTTTTGTGCTAAACAGTTAATTTTACAAAGATGTAAGGGTGAGATATTTATCTTGCATCAGAAAAAAAGTTTGGAAACTGTATTTATATCCATATAAAACTGATACTGTTGTCAGTCCTGTGACAATGACATGAAAGACAAAACCCGTGGGAAAGAGGCTTAGCTAACATGCTACACAAGTTGAAAAGACCATACAAATGCAACAGGCAATCCATTTACATTGACCTTTAATCCTATCAAACGATTTTGTCGAATTATCCAGCCTAACCAAAACACTTCAGTGGAAGGAATGCAGCCTACAGGAGCAAACCTCAGTAATGCAGACAAGTAGCCAAAAAATACAAATATAGTCAATTCTAATTTCCTTTTCTTTTCATAAATCTTTGGTTATGGGGAGCCATTTGATTAAAGAGGAAGGAACTTTGTATTAGATGTGCAAATATATAAAAAAAAACTTACCCATTTTATTGAGTTTTGCAGAGTCTGGGCAGCTGGTGCTTTAGTCAAGTGAATGGAAAGGGGGGCAAGCCAGTCCTGCAAAACTAAACAAAAGTGTGTGTGTGCACCCACTGTCCCATTTCGGGTCACTTCGATGACGTCACTGCTTGGGGGACCCACATGGGGCCCCTTTATCCAAAGTCTGCACAAAGGGGGTGGTAGATGGGGGTTGTTATTGGATGTAAGGGTCATTTTGAAGTGGTATTCAGCTTTAGCCCTTTAAAATAGAGGCTTATTATCCAGTTATTAATCTTAACACCAATCTTGAAAGTAATGACCATATATGAGCCCTTAGAGTTTTAGAGGTTAAAAATGCATATCATCAACATTAGCACATTAAACCTGACAGAAGAATCTGTTAAACTGATTAAGGTTCTAGTGTGCATTCAAATCAACTGAAGAACTACTGAAACTACTGCAATGAATGGGATTTGCAATGTCAAATGAATTTCAATTGTGCTATTACTCACATTATATGAAAGCCAAAAGTAGTTTCTGTGTATAAAACAGCCACTGTGTCTACAAACCTGGTCATTTTAATACTTCAATATGTATTCTTTGCAAATGTTTGATGGATTCCCCTGGCAACCATTAACAAAAATGAAATAGAAACTTGAGTTGACCTCAGTAAAGCCTTCTGTAGAAGCCTGAAACACTCAGGACAAATTAAACATCACGTTTATAAGCCAAACACAACTTATCTAGCCTTGAGCAGTGCAAACTTAAGCACTGAAATTGTACAGGGTAAGAATGACTGCTCAGAGAAGGGCGAAGGAATATAAATTGCCGGATGCTCGGAGAAAAGTAGCCATGACAACCAGAATCCGGGCTGGCTGGGAACTCTATTCAAGTTTGGGCCGTTTGGCATGATGCCAAAGTTCCCCCGAGTGGGCAAACACACAGAAGAGCCAAGAGCTGCTGCCTGTGGAAGCCAATGGTGAAACTTCTATGCGCCTACACTTGAGTTCAGCAGTTTTTGATGTGTTTGAAGGGACCTACCATTTCTCTTCATTTAAAGGAGGAAACTCATAAAATAATGAACGGATATTCCAGTCAGGGAACGGTTTGAAGAGGAGGAAATTCAGCTGATGGCACAGCAAATTCGATTAAACATTATAAAAGAGATTGTTCCGGGTCTAAAATCTGATTGGCTGGTCCACGTTGTAAAAAACTCACTGTAAAAAAATATACACACACATACACTGCATGTCCGAATGTTTGTACACAACTGTACAAGCTTGTATAATCAGATGCTCTGGAGTAGCCAGGTGCGTCCTAGGTCACCATGCCCAATGCCGATTGTTGGCAAGAGAGGTAAAAAGTCCTCCAGCACTGGGCTGTGAAGCAGTTGAATGTGTTCTTTGGAGTGATGGAGCTCCATCCAGTAGCTTTGGGATGAGTTGGGGTAGCATTTGTGGTCCAGAAGTGATGATCCAACTTCAGTACATGACCTCACTAATTAGTGTATGACTGTTATGTTGCTCAAATAGTCTATTCTAGTAATTGGCCAGAAGAGGCTTTGTGCAGCGGCCCTGATTTGTGGTAAAATTGCTGAAAAGCACAGGTTCAAGTGGCTGATTACTTTTATAAAACAGCGAAAAAATACAACATGGCCTGTGACATATTTTATGTTTCATGTTTTATTTTTTTCCATCAGGTTAAACTCAGCAAAAAAAGTTGAAACTGCACTAAAATCAGCAGAAAAATGCCACATTTAGGTTCCCTGTAGAGGATGTGTTATTAAATTATTCATTTAGACAATCAACAAAAATTTTATCGGGAGTATTCAAACCTTTGCAATGCCGTGACAAAATCACATTATTGTGATTAAGATTGAGGTATTGCTTTTAATTCACTGCTTTTATACAAAAACAGTTTTGTAAAGTAAAGAAAAAAGCATGGCAAAGTGTCCCGAACATTGTTTTAAATGTTTTTAAATTAGCCATTTCTTCCACCAAATTATTTCCAGCAGCTTAGAGTAAAGCGAGTTGTTGTTTTGTATCCGGTGATCAGTGAAAGGGTACATTTATGGTGCAAAAGCAACCAGTCGTAAGATCTAACACCAGGAGCTATGGCATTTATAAACTAATCAGAGCCTGAAAGCACCTCAGTGATGAGATCTTTTTATTAGAGTTTTCAGTGTGAAGCTCGATCTATGATCTTTGTGCTAGGATGCTCTTGGGAAACTCCAGACTGTGGAATTGGAATTAACTGTTTTAAAATCCCATTGAGAACTATGGATGGGAAGAACTCATTGAAAAGTTTCTTTAGATCATTTATTTAAAGAAAGTGTGTTAAAGAGGTCTGCAGCAGTCATTAAGGCTGGATTAGGATCCATAACCCATAACAAAATTCCTGTATAATTTAACTGTTGGAATGTAAACAAAGTCATTCAGAGTCTGTGATGTGAAATAGTTCATCATAGAGAAACTGATTTTCTTTAAAGTGGTCGTGATAGGAACCAGGTTGCAAAGACAAATGTAGTCATTTTATTTACTATCCAAAACAACCAGTGAACCACACGTCTTCTGGGTTTTTATAATGTGATGTAGATGGAAAAAAGTGACTGAAAAATATTTTTTCTCACAGCATGTTCCTCTCTACCAAATCGGAATTGTATGGTCAGACTGTCGCATTTGCTCACATATCCACAATGGTAGCCATAGTAACAACGCACACGTGTGTACGCTGACCCGCTGAAAAACTTAGCAAACCTAACAATGATAATTAGCAAATGGAACGATCACACTATATTTTCACTTTTTAACTACAGCATGAACAGAATATGACATTTGAGTAGGTTGACCTGGTCACCAGACTGTTAGTAAGCTACAGGCTGTATTTTATATTCAGAGACAGATAGACAGTTCAAATCTTTTAATGAAGCAGTCACTGTAAACTGCAACATACAAAGAAAATATGTTATCTAAATGTCTGTTAGAATCTTCTCTGTGTTTAAGCTGTAATATGTGACTATTCACGCCTGCCTTTCTTGTCGCACATTCCAACATCATGAAATGCCAAAAAATGGCAAAACAAGAAAAAAAACATGAAACTAAACCAGATATCTAGAAATTCAATCTGAATCAGATTAGAGACCACCTACAAATGTGGCTTGAATCTGACTGGAATAACTTAGGTTAAATGAGCTTTTTTGCCATTCAGAGTTAACACAAAATCTTTCCTGCTCAAATTGGATATGCCAAAAAATTGGATTTGAGCTCCCTGTTTGAACAAGGCCTTATAAGCATTACACACTTCCTATCACCACTACTGTGAACAATTCTAAGTAGGTAAGTCTTTAAAGGTTCTTTAAGGAACCAAAAGTGGTTCTCTACGCTCCAAGAACCCTTGTAAGATATAAGAGCATACAACTCTAAATCCATCTTACAAAGTGCAATAAATACATCTGCAAATCATGTTTTAATTTCAACCTAATGCATTTTATTTGAAAACTCTCTCCATCCAAACACACACAAAAAAGAACATGTTCATACAAAAACTGAGCCAGAAAGTGCAAAGCATTCCAAACTCTCTTCACAGCAGAGGAAATGCGGAGGACAGAGGATGCAGACAACCCGCGTTGGGATGAAAATGTGGGGGAGGCACTGACCTAGTTAGTGAGAACGGGTGCCGTGAAAAAGAGTTGTGCTGCGATGCATGCGGCATCTGCATCATTCATGGACTTGGAGGAGGAAAAAATTTCAGAGTGATGAACAGCAAAGTGTGAAATTAAAAAGGTAGCAGGACAGACACGTTCAGTGAAAAGGAGGAGAATTAGCTAACTAGCTTCTTGATACAGCCCTTGAATGACATCTTGGCTATAAATGCATGGTTTGTGAGTTTACTGCTGTACTACTTACATAGGCAGGACATGTGATTTTACGTGGGAGCACAACAGCAACAGTAAAGAATACTATTAAAGGAATACTTCAGCATTTTTCAATGTCATTTCTATCTTCTGCAACTGTAGCATAGGGCTGATTACCACAGAAAATAATTTTGACATGTTTCCCTGAACAGAACCTGTTCACTCCAAAAACTCATAATAATGGAATATAATGGATCAACGTTCAGATAAACATTGGCTTCTACAAAACTGTGTTTTAAGCCAACATACAGGAAAATTATTGTCTGTGGTAATCGTTCAAATGCAACAGATGCGGCATAAAGAATATAAGTTTGAAAAATTCTGGTGTATTCCTTTAACGTGTTGCTATATAGAAATTAAGAGCCGTATCTTATCAAGCTGACAATTGTTTGAAAAAAACAGAACTGGAAGGCCACCAACTAGGAGACCGAGTCAAGTATCTACCTGTAATATTTATGCTTAAAGTGCTTCCTGAGCTGAACTGATGAAACACTGGATTAAAATATACAGTTTCAGCACAGTGAGTCCATACATTTTGTCCAGCCACTACTTAGCAGTAGCACTGATTACCAGTTAAAAGAATACTCCAGCATGGTTTAACCTAATGTGCTGCATCATTTAATTAACATGGACAATAATTCCACACACTTTGGAAAAGAACTGAAAACACATTGACTTAGAACAATGCCTAAAATAGAAGTCAATGGACCTGTGCTGAAGCAGCTGCCCATTGACTTCTATTATAAGCATTTTCTGAGTAAAGTTTTCTGCTTACAGGAAAACATCCATCTGAATCAACTGTACACTACAGATATGGCAGATAACAATCAGGCTGAAAAATGTTGGAGTATTCTTAACTCCTGAAGGGAGAGGTTAAGTGACTGTAGCTTGAGTCCCTGCTACAGGTTTAATGGTATAACCGGCCAGTACTTGGGCTGCTTGCGGTCACAGTTGCGGTCGAAGGTGAGCTGCATGGCCGCCTCCATGCCCTGGATCTTGGCGGCATCCTTGCCGTACAGCTTCTTCATCTCAGCACTCCTCCTTTCACCCGGCCGCTCGGTGGGGGGCTGGGCGCTGCGCCAGGAAACCCGGTGTAGGTCCTGGTCGGCCAACACATAAGCTTCCTGCCGCTCTGCCTCCATCTGCTGTTGCTTCTCTGTAGAGGGAAAAAATAGCAAGAACAGATACATGAACACAGGTACAATATAGACCAAAATCTTAAGTTTTTCTGAAATATCCCACTCGTTTGAAGTAATGTGCTCTTATTCTAAAATATAATGGGAAAAGCCTTTAGCCTCTTTGTTGATAACTGCCCCTTATCAATTCTTTACAAACACACCTGATTCAGTTCATCAAGGCTTTAGGGGGCCTCTAAATGGGAGAACTAGGCAGATCTTACTATTAGAGATTACCATGAAAATAGTTCTGAGCTACACCTCGACCTAGATTCAAATAAGGTATTATCATCAGTAACACACAGCACCGGCTTCTTACCTTCCCTGCAAAATAAAGAACAGAAACCTGTTCACTTGAAACACACATTAAGGCAGGTTTTATTATAAGCATGTTCTGAAGCAACAGGTTTCATGTTCCTTTCTAATTACGTGGAAATTTTTGTCTGTGGAAACTGGCAGTACGCCACAGATGTAGCTGATTACATCTGGTTTGAAAAATGCTGAAGTGCTCCTTTAAAAACCAGGGCAAATAAATAAACACATATCACTGTTATCACATATTCAAGTTAAAATTCTGTTAGAACAACTCGATTCTCAAAGGTCATATGAAACTATTAACCACTTTGTAACGATCTAGTGATCATCCTTGTGTCTCATTTTCAAAAGAAGGACAGGATGTGCTAAGATATTTGTGGCATCACATTGGGCTAAAACTTAAAGAGAGGCTGTCAGCCTTTTTGTTACTTTAAATCGTGCTACTTCAATGTATGTTATTAATCTGTTATTTTTTAATGGCTTTTAACTGTGCTTTTTAAAGTGTGATAAATAATTACAATTTCCAATTCTTCTTATTGTTACTAATCAAATTTAATATTCTTGTAGGCTAAACTGTTTACAATGTCAAAGTGTTCTGTTAATGCCACTCTTCTGATGGATCACGAACATTTTGCGCTCTTGTCCTGCTAGACTGGACCTAAATTTTACTACATGTCCCCCCACTAAATATGACCGATGATGTGACAATACAGCGCCCAAAATATTCTAAGAAACAACAGAGCAGCCAGTTAAGACTGCGGCTCAGAAGATATGAAGGTCCAACTAGGTTATGAATGTCCTGTATTCTGACAATCCAGCACCAGTGCTAAACTTTGGAGACAATAGAGAAAGAAATCGGCAAGACCATAAGGCCTTTCTTCCACTGTAGAACCAAACGCTAAATGCTACAAAACACATTCGATTCTGGCTGTCACTCCAACAACAGCCACTCAATTCTGTGCACTCTGAGTCTTTTTCCTCTAAACTAGCGTTTTGAGTATTAGTGGGAATTGCGGTGGGTTAGATCTTTAGCCTGCTAACTAAAAGCAAAAGCATCAGTAAAAGCAGAGCACCAGTTTGACTGAATCAAATCCGTACCTGTAGGCCACAAGGTAAGCTAACTAGGCTACAGGAGCCGGTTAGCATTAGCCTAGCTATGAGGCTACAGATCCAAACACCACAGAACAGGTTTAATTTCTGCTTTTGTTCCTCCAACACCAGCTACTCGACTTAGGAATTGAACCTGTTCTGTGGTGAGCAGTGCTGGTATGCTAGTTTGGCTAATGTTAACCTGGTTAGCAGCGCCGTTTTACATTTAGCAATTTTTGCTAGATGGATGGTATGAAATGTATTCAAATGGTTAAAATCGTGCACTGCTTTCATTCAGTTTTAAACTTATTTCATTGTTTTTCTGTTTTGGCAAGATGTAAACGTACAACCAATCTGAGAATAGGTACATGTAGCATCACAGAACGGTTCTATGGCTCTGAGCACGGTTAGCTAACCATATCAGGAAAAAATGCACAGAGCACAATCTGTAAGCGTTCCTTGGCAAACCGCGTCGGTGTGGAAACGCCGCTGGAACGGTTACTCTGTGCTCAGACATGTTTGTCCCTACTGTGAAAAAGAACCTAAGTGACTCCCAGGTTAGAGGTAACGGCCCCCCCATATCAGCCACTTCCATGTATTGCATATTTCCCTACAAAACACACAGCACTACTTCCATTTCATTTCAATTTTTTTTTTGTTGTAGAAGTCTTACAAGTTAGCTTTCTTCGCTTTCCTTGGTACCCTAGAGGACAAACTTAACCACACTGTATAAACAATACGCTGTTTTAAAGCAGAAAGATAATTTGTTATCTCTTGTGAAAAAAAAAAAATGATTTAGGTGAGTAAAGTGCTTTCATTTATTTACAGTTAGTTTAAATTATGAATTTTTCAGTTTGAGGTGGCTGATAATAGGGCTACCTACACTAAGTAAGTAGAACTGAACTTGAACAGAATATAGAATAGGCAATATGGTCTATTATTTCCTGATTAGGGCTGTGTTACTGCTTCATCAGCATCCTGTTTCTGATATTCTCTGCTCTGAGGTTTAACCTCACACCAACACAGCCTAATCAACAAGTCATCTTGGCAGCACAATGCCAGTATGGCACTTAACAAGCATTTGAGTACGGTTAAAAAGCTCAGAAATAGAAAATAATGGGCCGAAAAGCAAGAAGACAAACACACTGCTGGTTATTGTGTTCCTCTGACATCCAGGACAGTCTGAACTGAGTGAACAGCAGGCCAGTCAGCAGCTCTATGTGACAGTGAGGACACTCATGAGGATAATGAGCGTCCCTCATTCTGCCTCTTATCTAATAGGTTTCAGCATAAAGGACTCATCTGTGCAAAACAAATTGGGCACGACTTTCTGTGCTAGATTTGATGTGCCTTGGAATAATGACTTTAAGCTGGCCCATATGAGCCACCATTACCTTGCTAGGGAGGACAAATGAAAAATGAAAAAGTCAGGATGCTTGATTCAAGCAGAACATCTTTTGAGTTTCAGCATCGTTTTTGGAACGACAAAAAAGAAGCGCATTGGAAAATGGGCCAAACGACTCCAAAAAATAAATGAACAGTCAGCAAAGGATTAGCAAATAGCACAAGTATTTTCCACAAAACTGCAAACTGCTCCTGTTTCATGCACTCACTCAGCTCCTCCCTGTGCCGCTCCGTCTGAGCGAAGAACTGCCGTAGTTCAGCTGAGATGTCCATGTTGCTGACGTTGCATTCAATCTCGCTTTCTTCTGAACTCTCTGACTCTTCCTCCTCCTCCTTCTCACTCTCTGGGTCATCTTGCTCTAGGACAGCAACAATTAGTCAACAGGGTCGAACAGTCGTCATCAACACACAACAAAGTTTCCTTGAAGTCAAAAGTGCTCTACAATGCTGTATGACAGTGCCCGCAAAATCTCGTCAAAATGTGTTCCAATTACATTTTTATAAAAATTAAGAAAGCTAATATTTTACAGAAAAAATAAATTATTGAACCCAAACCTTAATTTGATTTGACAAGACAAGGTAACTGCTCTTTATATAACACTGACGCTTCAGTATTAGCTAGGAAACAGTCGCTAATAGCACTGGATATTGCATTTCAATACTTTTATAGTACTAACTGAATTACTATTTTGTGTATTGAAAAAATATTTTGTGTCATTCAGTGGCAATTTTAATACCATTATTCAAGTATTCAGTCTTAACGTGAGCCAATATGCATGCTTGTTTCAAAATCTAGATGGGTGACTCACTGCTTAAATTACATTACATAAGCTTGTTACTAGTACCAGCCCTTCTTGACTGCAAACCATTGCAGTCTAGGAGTGTCATTATATGCTATTAACATTCATTTTTCTGTCCACACATCGTTGCATTTGAAAGTGCATCACGATGCAATTTACAATGCAACACAAGCGCAAGCTGCATTCTGAGCATTACAGCAAGGGGCGCTATAACAAGAGTCAGCTTTCCCTTGGTCAACTGTCATAGCAGATGAGCAGCTGGAGGAGTCAAACAAAAATGCTGGTATAAACATACATTATATATCACCCCTTTATTCTGATAGAACAGGTAAAGCAGCTCACGAGAGCTAGTTTAAGGGGAGCCTGGCCACTTCCTATTTCTTCCATTATATCAGTAATATGAGGGTGCCTGTGAGCGAGTCCCCAGTGAACAGATTTGAATGGAGCTAAAAAAACAAAAAATTAAACAATGAAATGAAACCATTTGTGCAGGATCTTTAATTTTTTCTTTAATTCTTACTTTAATTTTGGAAAGTATGATGTATTCATTTACCAAAAAAAACAAAGAAAACTCACTCATATGGGTTTACGCGGTTTACACGGCTGACGTCATAAACGTACATGAGGCACTGTTAGAAAGTCCTATAACTTGAGTTCAAAAGTACTCTGTAACATAACAGCAGCGTTGAAATATTGTATGCTCCTCTGTAAACAGAAAGTTACTGAATGTTCTATATAAAAAGCATTACACATTAGCAAACTATAACTTTACTAAAAAGCTTTGAAGGAACCCATTCGTGTTGTACTCACTCAGGACCACCCTCTAGCAAACCCAGAAGACAAAATTGAGAGGCAGCAGTTTTCTCTGAACGCAAGCTCCTCTACTGTCTACATGTTTAGTTGTTGTGCCTGTTAAAATGACAGCAGATCCTGTTCTGATCTGTCCTATACTGCCCCTTTGAGTACTGAGTGTTTTAACCGCCACAGTAACATAAGAACATACGCTGAGTTTGTACAGAAGAACTGTGTGTTTGCTGTATTTTGGTAGAGTGTTGTCATTCCTGTCTGTGTATGTTCCAAGTATATTTCAGTTCATGCTATAAAATGCATGACACAAAGAATAATTTCTATAGTTTTTTTTTTCATTATATTATCAATAATTGCAATTTATTAACTAGAAAATATTGTGCTATTTCTTTTTAGATAAGGCCTGAACAAAGCCCACAGGGTTCAAGCAGTTGCTCAGTGTCAATTCTTAACCTCTGAAACAATTCACTAGCAGCAGTCCTACCTTCCTCTTTCTCTCTGCCCCACCTCCTCAATCGTCCATGGGTTCTGTCATTGCTCTCCTCACCGTGCCAGTCTGCATAGCGGGGCGTGGCAGTGGGGAACACAGGGTGTAGCGCAGGTCCATAAGCAGCCTGCAAGGCCTTGCTGTATGCCCGCCGGTGCCTGTGGTGCCAGTTCATGGCCTGCTGGTAATGCTGCCAGTAGCGAGCATAGATAGGGTGGGCATACCATGCATCCATGTCCCACTGGTTGGCCTGTGGAGGAAGATATGTACACTTGAGAAGCTATTCAGACACTGGGACTACTTGAAAGATAAAAGTCAAACTTTTAAATGGTGCAGCAGTAACACAGTGGAAAAGGTGCCAGAATGAAACTGCCTCACCACTTAAGGTGGAACTGTAACTTCTATTAAGAAACTGGTGAACGGGAAGCCCACTTCAGCTTCGTTGCAGCATTTGACAACATTTCTCAAAGCAGGATTTCTCATTTAGCTGGAAAGGTGAAGACTGTCCGACAAAAATGCCCCTAAACACCTGGACAGGCTTGACTTTGGGGCTCAGGTAGGTAAGTCAGCGTTATCTCGGTACGTTAGCTAGGTTAACTGAGGAATCCTCCTTTGAGAACTGCCCCTTGTTCTGCACCTCCGGCTCTCAGTCTTGGTCCTGGAGCGCCGCCGCTCTCATGTGGGCAGTGGTCCTCCAGGACTGAGAGACTGAGACCCCCACATCAGCTAAACGGGGAGACTGAGAGAAGCGCAGCTCTCACTCACTCAGGACTGTCCGTCAGAGCAGGGAGCTACACCAGACCTCACCCTCTCTCACTCCTCACCCCGGAGGAGGAGTGTCCTCACCACAGCGCAGCCTCGGCTCTATCAGAGCGAACTCAGCCAAGACAAACAGGTGTTAAAGTCAGCATCATGGCGAAATAAGACAGAAACACGAGTTCATCCCGCGAAACACAAACAGCTCTCTACTCTCCTCTCAGCACCGCGTGTGTTTCCTGTGCGGTGGGATTGTGGGAAAATACCCGTCAAAGTAAAAGACGTTTGACGCTGTGGCCGCTTTGCACCGTGTAAACTAGCCTTTATTTAAGAGGAGCTGTTTTAAAGATCAGCAGACCACATGCAGTCGGCTTGACTGTGGCACGTTGTTGTAGTATTTTAATGAGTGGTGTATAACGCCACCTAGCAGCGATATTAAAGTATCACTTAGAGTATCATGGGGGTCTAATTATATGCAAACAAAAAATATACATATAACAGTGCACATGTACATGAATAAATTTCCTATCATTGATATCAAATATCATTACAATGGATCATGGTACAAATATGTTCCCTGACTAAAGGTACTGAGAGGGTACCTATGAGGGTACCACCCCGGTGACAGCTTTGTACCTTGTTCCTGAGAGTGTAGAGTAGATGTAGTGCTGCACAGACTGGCCTTCATAATCAATTCAACATTTTCGGAAAACAGTGAGTTTTCCTAAGCCATTCATTGGGATGCCATGCTCTGCACATTTTTGTGTTTTCCCTACTTTAAAGGCGAACTCCACCGATTTTTTGACAAATAATTAAATGATTGAGACGTTAACAAAATAACTCAGGGTGCTTTGGTGTGAAATGCTCTGTTTTAGAGAAACTTACAGAGTCAGAATTGTTCACAGTGGTTGTGAGGAGCCAGACATTCACCTCTTAAAACTTCCTCACAGAAAGTTATTACATGAAGTGGTTATGAATGTAATGCGTAATGTCTGAGAAACTGTTTTACGTATTGTTACGTAATTCACATTTTTCCCATTATCAGAAATATCAACTCCATTAACTGTACCTATTAGGCAGCTTTAAAATATAGATGCATGCACATTTAGTCACTGAAAGAGACAAACAAATATAACATAAGGAATACATTTGCATTTGGCAACCTAGTCTGCCTGGCAGGATGATAGCAGGTCACATTTGTAGCATCCTCAGAAGTAACTCCATCAATGACTGCTGCAGATTACCCCTTTTGACCAACCTTGAAGGCAAGATGCATTTACATCAGCCTTTGAGGCAGCTCTACAGGATCTGGTATATTTCCAGCTTATGAAGCCGTTTGCTGTACTTCCATGTTGAAATGTATTTGTCTTTGATTGTTTAAAATGTTAAGGAGAATAATTAACTATTTAACCAAAAAAAAACAAAAAAAAACAAGTAGCATTAATGCAATGTACTAAAATCCAAACACAGATATACACATAGTATGTATATATATGTGACCTAAAGCACAAACACTAGATCCGCAGTTAATGTGTTTTAACTAACATTTGCATTATGCAGGAATACATTTCACATATTTACTAAATCACTGTAGAAAAAACAGCATGCAAAGCATGTTATGTGCGTGTCGTACAAGCTTCAGTCGTTAGTGTTTAAGGTACAGCTGCCTAATATTAGCACCACTGTGAAAAGTGAGTGTGCACTGCGCTTAGCTTGGCGCTATTAAAACACAGAAAGGCCGAGCAGTGTTGTGACAATGGTCACAGTTACCTCAGCAATATAGTTCAGTAGCCTATATTGTTCCTTGTTTAGTTTGCCTGCAGACCTTGTTGCATATAAAACAGGTTTACAGCATCATTTTCACACTACATTAGTTGGATGTGGTTATTAAGATTGTAGAATAATATTGTGGTGCTCGCGACTGCGATTAACGTCTACAACTACCTCAGCAGAGCCGCGTTTTGTCCGGCCAATCAGACGGCGTTGTTTGTGGAGCCAATCAGGCGGCGTTCTGTGCGACGTATAATGAATATTCATAATTGCGTTTTTTCAATTAATGTATTTATGTTCTTGTTTACCCCGTGGTTAGTTTTATGTAACTTCTCATTCTGTTATTAAGATTGAACGGATTGATGATGCTCTGTTAATCGAAATCGCTGCACAAAATGTGTTTGTAAAGCCTTTTTTTTAATATTAATTGAATAAAAAAAACGCGCGTCTTCTACGTTGCCGGAAGTGCTTGGCATTACTTGATGACGGAGCGCACAGGCGGACTGACGGGCAGAAGATGGCGGAGTATCTGGCATCCATTTTCGGCACAGAAAAAGACAAGTGAGTGAAACAGAGTGATTTCTTCGTTAAAGTCGCGCCGCCTGAGTCTTATTAAACGTGTCAGTGTGTGGGGAGGAGCTGAGCTGAGCTGTGAGAGAGAGAGAGAGAGAGCGAGCGAGCGCTCTGTTTACAGCGCTCTCTGAGGAGAAACACAAACAGACGAGTAGTAGAAAAACGCAGTACTTACAATAAAACCTAGTTTTCCCCATGTGCAGTGATTTGTTTATAATATGCAAGACTGCTGAACGTCGTCCAGATGTTTTGTTTGTTGTTTCTCTTCTCTTTGTTTATTCGAGCTCGCAGCTGTGCTTTTAATTTGCTTGCAGGTCCATTCGGACTTCCTCCACAACCCACTGTTCAAGAGCAAGAGCAGTGAAATACTCCTTAATAAATATATAACGTTCAGTTTAATTAACAGTCTCTAAAATGTCCACATTAAATGGTCTTAAACCGAAGCGGTGAGAGGTCCAGGTGAATTGATGAAGGGGAATGAGACACACTAAGGTTTCTGCATAGATCAGTGGCTGAGATGTAGACAGAGTCAGAGAGGTTTGATGTGAAATGCTTCATTGTAGAGAAACGTACTCACTCAGATTTCTTTACAGTGGTGGTGATAGGAACCGGGGGGCGCGATGTCCACAACATAAATATGGATAGCGATGTTTATTTGCTCTCCAAAAGAACCAGTGACCAGTGAACCTACACGTGTCATGTGAGTTTTTACATGAAATGTTGATCATGATGAAATAATAGTAAGTTTTATCTATTTTTTTTTTTACCTTTAACACTTTTTTCATATACCTCTTTGTCATCAGCGGATTTAAAAAATGTGTTGTTGTTGTTGTTGTTGTTGTTGTTGTTATTTTGGTTAAGTGTGCTTTTTAGAAAGTTTTTAAATCTTGTCTCAACCCTGTTGTAAAACAGTCTCTCAGACATTACAGTACACATGTAATCACTAACAATAAAAGCTTCAACAACTTAGAGGCCTTTTAAGATGTGTGGTTCCTGTCATCACCACTGTGAACAGTTCTGATTCAGTAAGCTTCTCTAGAACAAATCATTTCACATCAGACTACTCTAAATGCCTCTGTTTACATCTTAATCATTTAATGCTAGAGGAAATTTGAAGCATCTGCATAAATTCCCTTTAAGCATCCTGTATGAAAGAAATCTAGAGTAATACTACAGTTTATTTCTACAGAAGTCCTGTAAGAATCTTATAGTAAATTCAGACAATTACTGTAATTGTGTGTACACACCTTAACAGATATTGTTGAATACTGTAAAACAGAACTCCATGATTACTATGTAGTGGCAAGATTATTATAGAAGTACTGTACAAACCTGTTTCTTATGGTATGTCTGCAGTTCTTTTTTGTGAAGGGATGAGCAAAAATAACACACTTTTTTGCTATTTTCTGCATGTTTTTTTTCCGTCTTCTATTTCCAGAGTCAATTGCTCTTTCTACTTTAAAATTGGAGCATGTCGCCATGGAGATCGCTGCTCTAGACTACACAATAAACCAACCTTCAGCCAGGTATGTTTCCTTAATGCAGGTTGAAAGCTTTGCTTGGCTTAGTTTCAGAAGAGTTACCAGATGTTGAAGGTCCCCTTTCCAGCGTGTTTGTCTTTTTCTTATTTAATTTCATCATGATCTCTGAAGATGTTCTCCTGCCACCCATGTGCTGTTTTCACAGCTAAGTTGAAGAGAGTTTGTATCTGAGGTCCCTGATACTTATAAGTTTTTTCTATGTGTGTGATGATGAGAGGAGTCTTGGTTTAAAGACGGTTTCAAAGTGAAGCAAAATGTACAATTCTTTGCATTTAGCAGTTTTTCTGCTGACAGTAGTTATTTGAAATTCCCTCAGATCTGTGAAAAATATCACTGAATCTTATGTAAAATAGAATGATGCTGCTAGACATGCTCCTTTGCCAGCCTGCCTGCCTGTGGTGAATCAGTTAGTCTTTGATGCCTGTAAACCAGGTCAAATAACAGATGTTATTATATGTAATGTATATGTATATTATATGTAAACACAGCAAGTAGAACAATCCAGGTGCTGTGCTCTTGACCTTGAACCAAGCTGTTGAGTGTAGTTTTAAAACTATAAAGGTAAATATGAGTCTTTCCACTATTAGTAAAAGTATGTGGTGTTATGTCTTTTAAAATGAAAATTTCTGCACAAGGAACATTTAAAAATATCAGACACTGGGGGATCTGATCATAAGTGGAAAGCATTCAGGCATGAACAGGATCCAGTGCGTCTTGAAATTGCACTGTGATCTGGTCATTCAAACTACCTTCAGAGGTGGCCAGGAAACCACATAACATTTGTAGTGTGAATGCTGAAGCCTCTAAATGTGTCCCTGACGGCAACGAAGGACTCCCTAATCGACTGCGCCATCACAGCAGAGACCAAAACAACTGCATAGTTTTTTTCTTTGTCTTGTGTCAGCAGTGCATGTGGTCCAAACATTTGCAACAGCCTGTACATTTACACAAACGCAAACTCAGGTCATTTTTGTTTGATAGAAAATGCAGCGAGAGACGTAATTTGAGACACATTGAAATGTCAGGTGTAAATGTCTGCTTGTGATCGGATCACTGGAGAAGGGTGTTAATCCCAGGTGTGTACAGGGCCTCAGTCTCAGTTTTTTGGGTTCTCCCCAGTGCTTTTACTCTCATCACTGGCATCTGTAATGGGCTTTTTGTTATAATTTGCTCTGTTTATTTTTCAGATTTTTTTTTTTTCCATTTATTTTTTATATAGACCATCTTGATTCAAAACATCTACCGGAACCCCCAGAACAGCGCTCAGACGGCCGACGCCTCTCGCTGTAAGTCTGTTTACTTCGTACGTAATGCTAGCCTGGAGCTGCTGCTGTAGAGTTAAAGAGAAGCAGGCTGAGGTAGTGGTCTGAACCATTCCACAGCACACAAAGTAGATACGCTAAAGGCCATTATAATGCAAATAAACGACATGAAAATGAGAAATATTCAGACATGATTCTGACACAAGTTTGCTCTAAAACTATAGACACCAGACATGGTTCAGTTTTTTTAGGGAATATTTCTGTTTGCACCATGACTATCTGTCTGTCAAAAGGTAGACAACATATCTGTCAAAAGGTTATTTTCTTCTTGTAAAATGGACAAACTAACACAGTGCTGGATGCTTTCAAGTTTGGAAATGTTAAAAAGGAGCAGAGAGTTTCTCCTCACTTAGAAGCTAAAACTTTGAGCACTTTAGCGTATAGCATGTGTCTCAATAACTCAGTCTTGCTGCTTTTGGAGATGCAGCTCCACATGTGACGAACCACAAAACAAACAGGCGGAATATTCTTTGTTCCACACAGAAAGAGCAAATGGTGACATTAAGGCTAGCTACTGTCACTTTACCAAAATGGAAAGTAGCGTTTAGAGCTTCACGAGTGCGTCTTCATATAGTTCGAATGAGTTATATTTGAACCTGGTTTAAATTGATTTTTAAGATTTTTTTTGGTGTTTTTGTAAAAAAAAAAATAAATAAATAAATAAATGAAAAATTTCTAATTGCTGGGATACAGCCAAACTGTCGTCTTAGTTGTCGCCATGCCAACAGCAGAGACTACAGTGGTTGGTCAGACAATTCATGGCGCTCAAAATGGAACACAGGGTGAAAAATAACATTGTGCTTAAAAAGGCCTTACAGCTTTATCACTCGTACTAAATGTTATCATAATTGTTAAATATCTCCATTACTCAAACTTTTTTTTTTTTAGACTGCAGGCCCCTCTTTCCACTGTGCAATTGAACTTTTTTATTATTATTATTATTATTATTATTTTTGTTATTTCCAACCTTATGTGTTGGATACCACAGGAAAAGGTTTGGCAAATAAAAAATAACAGGCTAAGATTGGAAGTGGCTTTCTGCCACACATCAAACCAAATGAAATAAAAAAATAAATAAATAAATTTTCACACCTCATAATGAAGGAAGTGTGTCTGACACTGTTTTGTTTATTGTGTGGCCTTGACTTAAAGAGCTTTTGGCTTGATGTTAGCCAAGGTAAGTACAGAAGCTGATGGATGTGGATGTGTTCAGTCACTGGAATAATGCCGCTCTCCCCATTAAAGCAGTACTATGGTGAAAAATAAAATTTACAGTTTTACAATTACCCATATATAGTCGATCAGCCAAAACGTTTAGAGCCAAATTTTGCTTTCCTGGTTTAGAACTGGAGCTATGAGGCTAATGTTGATAACAAACACTAGAATGCATTAGTCATCCAAATAGCCCAAACTGTTTCCATAAAAGTACAGTAAAGTGTGTTAGTGGGTGTGATCTGGGACACAGTATGACTTGTATGACTGTGGACTATAAAAATGGACAACTTCCGCTAAAGGCAGCTATTTCAGACAATACTAGGGATGGTATTCGCAAAAAAGCATTTCTGAACTAAAGCCAAATTTAGACTTCACATGTGTCATGGCTGATGGACTTTATATAGGGCAAGTGGAAAACTGTCAATATGAATTTGTCAAACTTTCTTTAACATGTAGTTGGCAGTTTTTAATTTTTTTAATATTACCTACAAAGTGATTAATTTTTAGAGTCTTGGAAAGGGATTCAGTTTTGGGGTCTAATTGGTCACATGGTTTATTAAGATGACATCTTATTTCTTCCAGGCCCAGCTCTTCCTGGTGTAACTGAACTGTTTATATTACAGCACTTCTAAGCTTTTGTTGCAGTCATAGAGTTTACTTTACAAAAATGTACGTTTTGTATTTCAGACCATTGTCCTCTTGAACATATTCCGTAACCCTCAAAACTCTGCCCAGTCTGCTGATGCTGTAAGTTGCCCCTTCACTTGCTTTCAGGACCCCTGCAACATTGACCCAAACATTAGGGCTTAGAAGGCCCTCACTCCAAAATATCTTCTCACAAGGTTCCATAGTAGCATTGCTACTGAGCCTTTCAGTGGCTTCTTCTCTAAAAAAAAATTCTCTTTAATTTGGACTGATATGGCATATACAGTTTGCCTTTCTAGCTCATTTACAGTCCTTTAAGGCTCTCTCAGTGTAGACTTACTGGGCTGGCTAATGTCTTGTGTTTTTTGTTTCTCATTTCACAACCACACAAAACAATATTGTTTATGTACTGGGAGGCCATGTGTTATTGGTTTCCATGATTTACCTGTCTGTTAAATGCAACTGTTCAGTGGTGGTCACTTGGCTGTCTTAAGAATGGTTGTTCACATAACCAGCATTTTCTTACCTGCTTGATTTGTTTTAGTATTCTGGTGGTGGTTAAATTCAATATAACCTGCTTTGCTAATATTGGTGGAGTAAAAAATGTTGCATGCTCTCTCAAGAACACCAAAAATGTAGGTAGACTGTTCAAAGAATTTCACTTTTATGTTTACTGCTTCTTTTCCCTGCTTTTGTTCACAGGTGCCGTCAGTGATGTGGAAATGCAGGAGCATTACGATGAATTTTTTGAGGTCAGTTCCATACACTGGCTTTCTAAAACGGAGACCAAGCCTGGATTCACAAAAACAGTACAAATACTGATCTTGGAACAGGACCCTAAAATACTTTGCTCATCTTAATGACTACTTGCCACCTACAGGGCCAGTATCATAGAAAACATGCCAATCTTGCCACTGTTTATATGGTCCAGCTATGAAAACCAAGCTGCAAAAAACACATGACAGAGGTCATTCACATATGTCTACAAAAGTTTCAGCACCCCTGGTCAAATGACTTGCTTTGTTTATTTTCTAAGTAAAAAAAAAAAAAATCATCAGTACTTAAAGAACTTTGACTAACTGCTTTTTTCATTGCAAAGACAGTATGATTCATTAGATTTAGTGCAATGCAGTTTGTAAAACATTTATTACGAAGCATTATAGTTGTAAGTTTATTATTATTATTTCCTTTTATAATTTTTTTTTGTGGCACTACAGGTTCTATTTCGCCTGTTTCAACTTATTGAATCTCAGAAAAACAATAATGCATTGTGAAAATATTGTGATATATTTTTTGCCATGTTGCCCACCCCTAGTCTGCACTATTTTAGCTCCACTCATAAGTTCCGACTCGGCACGCTTCGTATTCCAACAGGAAGGGTTACTAAATTCAGCGCAAGTACGTGGGTGTGGTACGGTATGGTTTACTTGGCGATGGAAATAATGACAAAATTCATGATAACGGATTTGTAACAGTACCACCTGGATTATTTCACTGCCTAGTGGAATAAACAGCATAATCGTTGAGCAGCTTGAAAAACTAAGATTTGGCTACCCTTTTCTGTAGCTGGTGGGATGTTATAATTGATACCAAAAATGTTTTTCTTTGGCAGAATTTTTTTTTCTCACAAATTGTTATTTTCATATAGATGATTGTGAGAAAACATCTCTGTCTAGTAACACAGAGGCTTTGTGTTGTTAGGAAGTCTTCACGGAAATGGAGGAGAAGTATGGAGAGGTGGAGGAGATGAATGTGTGTGATAACCTGGGTGATCACCTGGTTGGCAATGTTTACGTGAAGGTAAGTTCCACCCAATCACACAACAGATCCTGCTCACATGATGAATAGCTCATATTGAACTGCTGTATACTGCTTGAAACATGCATTGTACCTGCAGCATTTTAGTTGTTCAAACGGCAAGTAATCTACTTGCAACAGATTCTCCAGCTGTGCTGCTCTATTTACAGCCAGGTTTTTCAACTATTTACGGAATCAAAAAGTCAAAACTTAGTCCAGAGAAGCTTGATGAGGTTAAGTTTTTTATTTATTGAATTTCGAAACAGCTTCTGATCTAAACTTAAAGCTATAGTGTAGCAAAACAATCATAATTAGTTGTGTGTTTTTTTTTTGTTTTTTTTTGTTTTTTTTTGGATCAGCCAAGACCTGTTTGGTGTCTGCAGTTTACTACTTTAGAGTTGCATTGGGGTTATGAGGATCATGCAGCCACAAGTAATGGAAGTTTATAAAGTTGACAGAAGTACATTGCAAGGCTAAAACAGTAAAGTACTAGCCATCTTGAATTCTGTCTGCTTTTTTGCTATTTTTATAGATAAGTGTCAGACACAGTATTACAGTTTGAGGTAAGTGTTGGATGATTTAGGTATGCAGTCATGTGACGCTAACTACTGGGTATAAGCTTCTATTATCTGTCAGCTACATTAGCCTCTCAGCTTCAGTGCAAAAATAAAGCTGCACAATTCAGACACCAAACATGTCTTGGCTGATCTACTATATTTGCTGTAAGGGGAAAAAATGTGTAAATTTGATATTTCACTAAACTATTCCTTCCAAAGTTTTATGATCATGACCTTCAGGGCTTGCACTGAACTCTGTTGATGTTTGAACAGTTCCGGTACGAGGAGGATGCAGAAAAGGCTGTTCTCGACCTGAACAACCGCTGGTTCAACGGCCAACCCATTCATGCTGAGCTTTCCCCTGTGACCGACTTCAGAGAAGCCTGCTGCAGGCAATATGAAATGGGGTCTGTCTGTCTGTCTGTCTTGCTCTGCCTCACTCCTTCTGTTCTAGTATACACTGTACAACCTATTAGGGCTGCACGATGTGGTCATAAAATGCAATGTTTGATTAAAGTTGTAGGATATTTTGATGATATGAAAAGCAAAATATGATTAAAATAGTTTGTCTGACTGGGTCTGTAGTGTGTACAGCCTTTTTGTATATAGAGCTACCAAAAAAACCTCTGTAGATCACACTGTTTGTAGTTATTAGGGATAGATTCGCTTTTGAGCTGCATATATGTGTGTGCTTGGTAATTAGCTCTATGGCAGAGTGGTTAAGTCACTCACTCTACACTCACAGCTCCTAATGCTACATTTCCTGGCACTCTACCACAACACGTGTCATGTATCCAGTCATCATAGCCTTTAAAAATTTATTGATCACGTAAACTAATATATCAATAACAATAAAAAAAGATTAATCATATATCTCATATAAAGTACACAGTGTATTCCAGTGTCCCTTCAATTGTAGTCCTAAAATATAACTTGAGCTAGTTGTTGTGAGTTGAGTAAGCTCTGCTGCATACTGTGTATTGGTTACACATACATAAAAGCTGATGCTGGAAACTGTAAAGTAGAGGTCTCAAACTATTAGCCCACAGGCCATATCCCGTCCGGGAGACAGCTTCATATGACCATCACATATTTCAAGTGTAACCTTAAATCTTGAATCCGGCCTGCATACATTTTCTTTTTTTTTCCCCTCCCACCCTTGTTTTTTGCGGCTAAATATTTACATCTAACAAGTAGTTTTACGTAAGCCATACAAAAGGGACCATTTGAGCAAAAACCCTAGCGCAACCTGCACGCTGAGCTGGCGCGACTGTAATTTAGCTATAACTAATGAAGCTGTTGTTCTAATTTAGGCTGATTAGTTAGTGGTAGATACATCGTTGTGCTTAAATGAGTGCGTAAGTCATATAATTAAAACTCCACCCCCCTTGGGAAATACCACCTAGCTTGTGGTATTCAGGTAATTTGAGTTTGGTACCTCTGCCATAATGTCTTTATCATTGTGATACGTTTGAGAGATTCTATCTGCATTTTCTTCTTGAGAATTTTCAACTGTCGGATGATTACGTGCAGTTTGAAGCGCTGGCACCTTACGTTTTATATTTGGCAGGGAAAGTAGCGAAGTAATCTCTGCTCAGTCAGACTGACTGTGTAAGGTGCAGCAGTGGGTGCAGCTGCTGGGCAGATAACATTTCTCACAGTCTGTTTTCAAAGGTACTTGATATGAGCTGATGTGAATACTTCTGTTTTGATGTTACTGCTGTGATGTTTGACTGCAGTGTCTTGTCTTACCACAGGGAGTGCACAAGAGGCGGCTTCTGTAACTTCATGCACCTAAAGCCCATTTCTCGAGAGCTGAGGAGGGAACTGTACGGACGGCGTAGGAAAAGGTATGGAAAACTCTGGGAATTAATAAGTTGGACTTGTGAAATGTAGAAATGTTTAATTTCTTTAAAATGTTTTTGCTGTTCTCCATACTGCCCATTATTGGCCCTTCAGGCATCGCTCTCGTTCAAGGTCTCGAGAACGGCGCTCTCGTTCGCGTGACCGAGGCCGGCGAGATCGCGAGAGGAGGAGATCAAGAGAACGTGAACGTTCTGGACGGTTTTGAGCCAACATTCGAACCCTTTTGCTTTTTACCCCTCTGTGTTGTTTTCTGTTTTTCTTGGATGCCTGTTTTCTCAATAAAAGTACATTGTTATAAATTCCTTAATGTCTGTCTTTTTAAGACTTTCTTGTGGCTGTGACTGGGTGTGGTTATGGTTTCCCTTATCTGGGGTATAGCTAGTGTTTTATATAGTACCAGTCATCATGACTTGCACTATAGACAATAAAATGGAATGACATACAATTTCTCCCACCACTGTTTATGCAGTGATTTCAGGCTCACTTGGAAATGAAAATGGTCGTTGCCTAAGTGTCTAGTATTGTGTTGTAGTTAATGTAGGTTTATTCAAGCTTATTCATTAGACTTACTTCCTACATCAAACACTAAGTGCTTGACTGTTAACCCCTATTCTATTGATAGCTCTGAAAAAAAACCTGTTTGGCCAATATTTAAAATGTTAAAGGTAGCCTCTACCTGTTTTGTTATAGTTGAAATGGCGGGAAAGGCATTTTTGGGTACAAATTAATCTCAGTTCTGACCTAAGTTCAGGTTGTTAGTTATTAATGCTGACTTTGCCACAAATAATGTTACTGATACTTGGCTGAGGATAATAGGCCAGGGCACTTTTAATAGTAAAGAAACAAGTGCCTGAGGAACTGGCAAAGGGCCAACATCACGAATGATATGATGTAGTATGAAATGGATAATTGATTCCCATTTTTTAAGCAAGAGTTTAAAGGGGAACTCCACCAATTTTAAATTTTCTGCATGATTAAATGGTTGAAATGTTAACAAAATCAGAATTATAGTTGGATATGGTGAACGATTTACGGTGTTATATTTCACAATGTTTGATTTTTGGACGAGTTGAAATAGCCAAATATACAACATAGTTTTTAAAAGTTATGAATCCACTGATTTGTATTGAACATTCCAAGTGCTGCACTAAATGTAATTAAACAGGACTAATTATGCTCTCTATTTAATCAAACATGCAGTTCGATCACAGTGGAAGTGTTCTTTAAGTTCTGACAACACAGTATGCTCAGGAAATATCACGTTGTTGATACATATTGCCATATTGCCCAGTCCTATTCAGGATGGTTTGATGTGAAATGGTTCATTTAGGGAAACAAACCAACAGATTTCTTTACTGTGGTGGTGTTAGGAATCAGGGCTTACAATGTATATGAGACAAAAATAACCATTTTCTTTAGTATCCAAAACCGCCAGTGAACCTACATGTGTCTTTTAAATTTTATATGCGATGTTGATGATGGTACCAATGTGGTAAATCTGAATGTATCTTCCTACCTTTTAGGTCAAAATATCTCAAAACTATAGTAAAGCAATGTGTCCTTCATCAGTCGACATATACATCACCAGTTCATGTAACAACTTTCTGTGAGGTTTTTAGAAGCATTAAGCTCTTTAGATGTCTGGTTCCCATCACCACCATTGTGAAAAATTGTGAGTCAGCTTTCTAGAATGGCACATTTCATACCAAACCACGCTGGAAGACTTTTACATCTTAATGATTAAATTATGCAGAATATTCGAACAGTCTTGGGAATTTCACTTTAAAAGTAAATTAGTTTCAAAATACAGTCCATATAAAGTAACTAAAAGCCCATTTTGAAGTGATTGTTTTTATGTCATGAAAACCCATTTACATACATCCCTCTAATCCACATACAGCAGTTCAGCCCTCTCATTCAGGATGAAATCATAAGGAGTGTTTCAGCTTTTTGAAAAGAGCACAAAACAGGGCAACCAATCAGAACAGAGCTCTATAACATGTATCAGTAAAATAAAAGGATTGCAACAAAAACAGCCTGTTTAATTGTAAAGGATAGAGTTTGGAAAATGGGCATGTAAAAACGGGGTGTGACTGTTTCGATACCCGCACCACACTATGCTACATGTGGACCTCAGGGGAAAAAATAAAATAGAAAAATGCAGGGTATGGGCTCTTTAAATGTGATTGGCTGACAGCTGAGAATACCATAACCTCACTTGGCCACTGCATCATGATGTAGGATTTTGTTGCTGTCCAAATCAAAACAAACAGAAAACACCTCCAGCTCCCCTTTACTTTCCCATACTGTGAAAACCTTCTGAGGAATGGACCAATAGAAATACTCCATTATCACTTAGAAACTCACCTCTTTACCTTATTTCATTAAAGTTTCATTAAAAGTTTAGAACATGTTTGTCTTCTTCTGTAAAGTTATTACTTTGGAGTTTGGTTTTTTGTAATCACTGATTGGGATTTTGTAGCTCTGCACTGGATAGAACTGGATGTACACATGCCAGAATTCACTGTCTAGGATTTTACATGATTGTGTGCGACTCAGCAGGCTTTCCAGATGGATGTTCAGTGTTCCTGATCGGGTCGGTTACAAGATAATAATTCACTAAGTATTAAACTAATGGATTACGCAATTCGGTCACCAAACCGCAGTGCTGTTACATAAGAGGTAAATATCTACTTCGTCTAAACAGCGTAAGCAGTTTTCAGTCTCGTAGTTTGGGACTCGAACTCGGGGCCCCTTTCGTGTGAAACCCCCCTTTCCTGTCTTCTTTCGGTGGTTTTCCATCATCTGGTTCGGTCCAGATCAGGGAAGGGGTTTCATCAGAGAGGACACCTTTGGACGTCACCTTTCTCACCCGGTTGCTTGGATACACCTGCCGGTTGTGGGTAAGTATGTAAATACCCGCCCCCGCTCTAGCCAATCACAGCGCGCTCCCAAACGGGGCCGATTCCCAAATGGCGATCAGCTCCCTTCCCTTTAAAACTGGAGCTGCTGCGCACTCTGTTCACTCTGCTCACTCCGATCGGACCTGTGGAGAGTTCGGCAGGTTTCCAGTCAGCCGCCTCTGAAGAGAACCTCTCAGTGTCGACACACAGGTGGGCCGGTTTCTCTTCATCAGCACCGCTGCAGAAAATTAATGGACTGTTTATTTATTTCAGGCGTGGAAAGACTAAAGTTAGTAGCTAGAATAAGAGAATGAAAATGTTCAGAGAAAACGAGGCTGAATTTGGCTTCATATTCACCGGCTTCTCATGAACTTCTCAAAATATTTTGACTGTTAGCAGCAGAAATCTGTGAACCGTTGTTATAATGTTGGAGAGGAGACTGAAAATATCGAATAAAGTAGATCACATCGAAGTTCTAACCTTAAAGTACTTTAGTCAAGTAAACAACAGAGCTGAATGACTTCTTACTATGAAGAGTTACATCATCATCATCACCACCATCCTCCTCCTCCTCCTGTAAGCCGCGATGTGTATCAGAGTAAATGGGCTTTTCAACACGTGGCTGCTGTCGGTCGGTCATATCCAGTCAAATCTTTCTTGATTAAATATGTGTCTCACGCTTCTGAGCTGCTTTATGTGCCGTCGAAGTCAGTGGCTTTGGGATAAAGCAGTGTAAGTGGGAATTTTCATAAGAATTCCTGTTTTTCCCCGCTTTGGGAAGCACATGGCCCTCCATCTCTCTTCCCTCTTTTCTGGGTCCTAGAGTCCGTTGGATTTTAGGACCTCCACATAGGAGAAGGCTTTTGGGATGGATGAATTTTGTCATGCTGGTCTGTTTTTTTTTAGTAGTGTTGTCATATTATATAGCACAGCATGACGTCCCTCAGCCTTATCGGTTTAACAGGATTCATGATTTTATATCTTTTATTTAAGTTATATTTTCATGTTTACTTTCATCAGTGCTCTTTAACCACGATACCTAGCATGCATTATGCAAATACATCATACAACCGTTGGGGAGTTTTTTGTTTTTTGGGAAAAAAATTAATAAATGAACAATTCTGTAGTTTAAATCCTGCTTTGTGTTAACTGGGAATAAATGCCGTTTGGTGAAGTTACTTACAGTAAGCCTGATTGCCATGACTGCCATCTTATTTCTGCAGAGAATACTGTATTTGTGAATAGACTATGCTAAACATTGGATGTCAGTTTGCCTTGACGGAACTGTGTGGGTGAGAGTGGGACAAAACGTTTTGGTTGCAGGCGGGAACGGGACTATAATTCAGATTTTCTGCGGGAGTGGGCAGGACTGAAAAAACCTCTGTACTAAGGCACTGTTTTATTATGAGAGTAAGCTTGTTTACAACAGCATTTTTTTCAATTTGGCCAGAGTGTCCCTTTAAAAACCCCATGTGTCAAACACTGTGTCACAATCCTATTGGGCCCACAAAATTATTTTAACTATTATTAGCCCATTTCACCATGAGCTGCACTACAGTCCCCAGCATGCGCTGTAACGTAATGTGCGCTCCCATCCCCTCCCCAACAACGATCTACAGAACAGCACCACAAAAAAAAGATGCCAGGTGTTTAGTTCAAGCGAATGCTTAGGTTTTAAAACCTACTGTGCATTGGGGACATTTAAAGAGGTTTAACAGTTATCTGCAGCTAATGTAGTCTATTAGTTTATAGAAAACAATCTGTTTTTATTTGAAATTGTGTATTCAATGCCTGTTTTTTGCCTTGTAGTTTTGGCGTATTTTGAACAAACAATGGTCAGTTGGGGTCATGACAACATGTTAAGTAAAAATAAAATGAAACACAGCTGGCCCACAGATTTTTTGAAATTCTTTAATATGGCCCTTTTAGTGGTTGAGTTTGACACCCCTGCTTTAAACTAAGCAGTTTAGCTCTAGTCCAGCAGAGCATTGGGAAACCATGTTTCCTACTGAACAATACACTCGCCTTATTTAATCTGTACTGTTTTTGCCACAAGACAAAGATTAGATAAGCCCTGCATATGTGCTGAAAACACGTTTGGTTGCTTATTTCTTAAGCAGAGCCAGTCATGCCTGTCTTAAGGTATAATAATGCAGTGAGTAATTGTTTGAACCTACAGATACCCAGACTTTTAAGAACTCATTAAAGTGTACTTCTTAATAACTAGATACTGAGTCAGAATCCAGAATTCAACAAAATAAAATCCCAAAACAAAAACATCTAATAATTAAAATTAACATGAAGTATAAAATATATCGTAAGTATTAACTTCAGCATGAACACCTTTTATAAAAGCTTCTCATTGCTTTCCGAGGCTCTCAGAAATCTGCAAGCTGGGTTTAATGTCCTTCATTTTTACAGTATTTTGGGTAACTGGTTGTCCAGTTAAGAAAAGTGCTCAGCCTTCTTGGCCTGCTCTTCTGAAAGGACCTATGCGATGCTGCGGCATGATGGCACATGTTACCATGTGCTTGTTTTGGGTTTTAGCCAAGGCCATTCATGACGCAAGAGTCCCTCTACACATTTAAACCTTTAAAGGTCTTTACAGCTCCTCCCTTATTCGCCTCCAGTTACTGCTCCGGTTACTTTAGGACACTAAATAGGGTACAAGTGTGTAAGTGCTAACAAACTTGTATTCTGTGTAGTGCGTCATGTTCCAGATGGGGACTGAGCCAATGTGTCTTGAGTTTCTTCACAGTCCTAGAGTCTCCAAGTACAGCATTAAATTGCTTACATGAAGCCAGCATGTGGTGAGCGCCTAGGCTGTTGCAAAGAAGCCCTGTAGCTACAGTGTCGCTGTGAGGCACACATGTCAAGCTCCAGTCCTCACAAGCCAAAACACTGTAGATCTCAGCACTGCCCATTAAACACACCTGATTCAGCTCATCAGCTAATTAGCAAGGCCTTCATGAACTGAATTCAGAGCATTAGATGATGGTAAATGCTAATCTCTGCAGCACTTTGGCTTGGAAGGTCCCCAGTTTGACATGCCTGCTGTAAGGAATGACCACTGCTTTAACTTTGTGACCAAATTCAAAAGGCGAAGGTTGAGCTAAAAACCTTTTTTTGTTTTTAAGTTTTATCTCTTGTCCCAAATATGATTGATCAATGTCTGAAATGTTTCCTTTTTAGCTTTTTGCTAGAGCTACAAGGCTAATGTAGCTAACAAGTAATGGAAGCTTATGTAGACTAATTAGCATTGTGCACACTGCTTGCCAAAATCATCACACATTACCCCAAATAGGAAATTAAGTAATTTATAATTTATAATAAAAAGAGTTCATTATGTTGTTTCTGATTAACACTGACTATTCAAAATAATGGACAAACTGGAAAAAGTATGGAAAATATTTAGTGTCAACATGGACACTATTGGTGTTTTTAGCTATGCAATGTACTGTTGTGTTGTAGATAGTATATATGCACTAGTATAGCTAGGGCTGCAAGGGAGTTACGGTATTAGATATTTATCATGTACATATCTACCAGTGCCGACACTAAAACGTTTATGAAATGTAGAAATTGTAGTAAATCCACTTGGATAAGCATCACAGAGAAATAAACCTTCATTTGTGTAGGGTTACAAATGCAGTAAAACTAATAAAATGCAGGTATTTCATATCATTGGCTAAACATTCTACTCCTCCAGATAATTAACCAAAAATGAATATATTTAAAAAAAAGAATTGTCAATGTCATTATGCATCCCTAATTTTAGCATATATCAATGATGAGTTTTTATTGTTCACCATTTGTCACAACTTTGATTTAGCCATAATTAAATCACGCCATAAATAACCACCGAGTGTTATTTCTAAGGAAACAAAAGCATGCTAGACCCGTGCTGGCCACTGGTTATTTCGCATTAAGGCAGCCGAGCGAGATGTGTAGTTTCAGAGCAGCTCCAGGAAGGTTTTGTTTGAACAGCTGCTGTGTAGCTTTACCATTTCCACCTGAACCTGCTGTATTTATCCCAGCCAGCACAGCTATTCAGAGGAGAGGAGGATACCAGGAATTGGTGACTGATTAATTCTTGCCCAGGTAGCATCCTCAGCAGACATGGCACAAATGCACTTTTTCCTTTCATTTAGGTATCAGCCAGTACCAAAACTGATCTCATACATTTTTTTAATCTACTGTGTTTTAAAACAAGCTATTTCTAACTGAAGCATTTCACTCAAGATGGCTGTCATCTGTCATGTATTCAGATAAAGTCAACCAGAAATCAAAATGTACAGCCTTTACCTTGTTAATTAATGCTCCTGGTCTTATTGAGCACTGTTTATCATATCAGATCATTTAAAGCAGGACAGTAATTTGGGTGGTCCAATCAAAACTTTCACGTTTTACAGTCTTCTTAAAACATAAACTCAGCGTGATTTGTTGTTGGCAGCCGGGCACTTTTAAGACCTGTTCTTGTACCGTCATAGTAAAAATCCACAGTCCTCATCAGTTTAACTGGTAGATTCAGTGCTGTGTGCCAGCTGTCCGGCTGGGACAAGTTTTGGCTGTAATCCCTTTGGCATGAGTCCAGTGAGAGCCTGTTGGCCAGTATACATAAGACACAGTTCTTAGGCCTGGACAGACTGTCCTCTCTCAGAGCTGTGGTGAACTAAATGTGGCTTGAACAAATAACATTAAGTGACCAAGAGGATCTTTATCAGTTGTTTTCACTAAAACAAAAACTCAAGGTCCAACTTTTTAGATTTATTGTCTTATGTAATAAGTGTGGTTATAGGTGCAAATGACTTTATTTGCACAGGTGTGCCAGTCAGGAAATAATCAATATCATATCATAAAACAGACAGACAACATAAACACCACAGTCAGACATGCTGTTGTGGTCTCTGACACCACATGAAATGCTGTTGTCTATAAAAATGGCTGTTACTGCAGTTTTTATCTACACTACCATTCAAAAGTTTGGAATTAGTTTTTCAGTAATACATTATATTATATATAATTTTCATTTCTAGTGAATGCCATTCTTCAAGCTGAAAAAAAAGCATTAAAAATTTAACTTGGTTAGTTTTTACACACTTTGTTCAAATTTGAGATCATTTGAGGGAGAATTGGCTACGTTATTAGACCACGAAATGATGTCAATTTTTTTGGGGGACACCCTGTATAACATTTGTTGTTGTGTTTTCTTTCTAATTAGGTAAATCTTGTTCTTACAGGCAAACAGTAAATATGTGCTAAGTAAACCGCCTGAATAATGTTCCAATGACCAATAAATGACTGATACATTTCACCATATTTCTCAAACTGGGTGGTCCTAATCTTGGGTAACACTTCTGTAAGCATTTCCTAACCAATCACAAGGCTGACGTCTCTTGCCCACACAAAACAGAGTTAAAGAAACTTAGGCCGCTTTTCCACTGTCGGGCCAAATGGTTCTCGGGGCCGGACTGGGCCGTTCTGCGCTGGTCCAGACTTGTGAGACCGGTTACGGTTTCTGTTTCTGTTGTCACAACTACTTTTGGGGTAAGAGGGAAAACTGTGTAAATTCGATTTTTATTTTTTTTGCCTAAATTTCAAAGTAAGACTTTTTTCCTACCTTTTACTAAATGTTACAGCAAAGTGAGTAATGGCTCCTAATTCATATTCCAAGTTCACAGTTTTCTGTAGTGCCTTTCAGTGTGATGTTAATCCTTGTTTCAGTGAAAGTGACCTTGCCCTTTGCCTCTGTCCAGTCAAGCATGCCTTCAGTGCCCTCCACCAAAGACAGCGGAACCTCCAGCCTAGTCTGCCCCTTCGCTGGCAAAAAGGGCTCAAGCGATGGACCCCTCCAGATAAACCATCCGGAAAGCAGTGAGAAAGACAAACTGAGCTTTACTGGTGACAAGGATGGAGCCGCCCAACTGACCAGGGAGAAGGGGGCCATCGAGAGGAAGTGGATCCGTCCTGACCTGAGAAGCAAGTGCACCTGGAGCCTTGGAGCGCCACATGCTGATTCCCCCCACACGCACCCACCCGTGTAAGTGGATAAACATGCCTTGTATGGAGATGACTGTTTCAGTACACTGCTGGTCTTTACCAAGGGTTTCTCCTGTCTCTCATGGAAACCATAGATCAAAACTAGACATCTGGGGTAGTGGTGAGTCAGAATTTTCGAACGTTCAAATCGTCATGAAAGTTAAAAAAAAAATGTAATTAAATTAGGATTTTTGAAATGCAAATTAGCTTCTCCCTAACATCATACATTCTCATATTGAAGAATAATTAGATGTCTGAAGAAGCAAAAAAAAAACCACTGTAGCAAAAAGCAGACAAAGTGTTGCGCATCATCACCACAAGGTCTCTGGCGCCCGGTATCAGAATGTACAAAGCCCAGCTTTAACGTTAACGTTAGCTGAGTTGAAAACAGATTTGTCTGACTTTACGTTAATATAGCCGGGAGAAAAGTGACCTATCTACCATTGTACAACAGAAAATCCAGGCTTAGATGGAACTAAGTTTGAAGTTAGCTGGCTAAGCAAGAAATTCTGCTTTGTGGGAGAGGATACACGCATGGGTCAATCTTTTTTTGAGCCAAATACATAAAATATGGAAAATAGAATCAAATCTTGATTTCATTATCAAAATTGAAACTGTGTGTATCATTACACCTCTAATTCTTTAGTTTCTACGTCAGATCAGTATCTGGGCAATTCTGAATTGGAAGCTAAAGGTTTTTAAGAATCTAGAAACATGGAGAACATTCAGTCAACAATCAGCTGACCAACAGACACTTAAGGGCTGACACGTGCCAAACATTTTTACCAGTTGTTCTACCAGAAGGGTATTTGGCGAAGCGTTATATTATCAGCCCCTTAAAATCACAGTCTATACCAAGACATAGTAGGTTTGGTGATCACGTGATTGTCTAGATATGTGTCATTGGGGATCGCAAATCATTTTTGGTATGTTGCAGCAGAGGAGAAGTTGTCTCCAGAAGTATAACTGTTCTTTTATGCCACTTTATTTTAAAGCGTGCTTTTTATGAAAGTACATCCTCATTATCAGGTTAGCCAACTACTGATGCAATAATTTATAGCCTATAAACCCAAGGCACATCATAAACTCCCGAATTTTATGACGTTGCATTTGCATTTGGTGCAAAATAAGCTCCATAGGAACTACATTAATGGTGTTTGAATTTGAGCACAATGCTGAGCTAGCTAAGACGAGCACACAATATAAATTGTGGCCTGGAGTTATACCAAAATCATTCTTTCACTGCTAGTTTTACTTCTACAGTCACTGAACTCACATTATGAATATTAAACAGTTGAAATGCATCTGCATAGACCTGTTGGCATGCCCAAGCATGTTGACTCTTCTAAATCCAGCTGGAACCAGTTCCAGATTTACATTTTGTTGACATGCAAGTTTTGCATGTAGGCTCTCTGTACTTACATAACTTGTGCTTCTGCATGTTGTAACTGATTCTGTTGTTTGTTCAGGTTCTAGTAGACTGTGCAGCTGTATTTATGACCGCATTGATATGAAAATTTTCAGACCCATACAAATTTAAGGGTTTAAAGTTGATAATATTGGCTGATAAAATTTTATACTATCAAAAATCAAACAGACTCCAATAGTTTTGGATTTAATTGTCAGTTCTTAATTATCCAATTTCCCAAACAGCAGAAACTCTTAAATAAAAGTCTTAAATAATATAAATATTGTTTAAGTCTTAGTTATGAGGGAGGGGGACCTACTGCTCTTTAGTAATTGGAGTAAAAGCAACCTCGTTGAGTCTAATGAGCATTGTGGGCACGTAAAAAGTGTGTGCTTTCTAGGACCTTTAAAGTACTACGTGCTGAAGCTTCAAGTCAGTGACACTTTGTGTCCTTGCTGTTAATTAGATCTTATTTTTCATGGGTTGTTCATGGTTTCATGGGACTTTCACATTGTTTGTGTTATGACATCATTTTATTACATAATAAAGTAAAGTAACTTATAAATGTTGCGTTATTGGTGGGATTTTTCCCTTTATAAGTCTGTGGAATCTTAATAATGGACAATATCATTGGCCTACCAATATACTGGTCAGGCCTGGTCTAGTACATCAGGGTTTTATAACATCGCAAACCCTTCGGTTTTCATAGTGGCATTGCAGAGAGTTAATGGGACTGTGATAGAAACGTCACTATTAAGTTAAAATATTTTCTTACAAGCAAAAAAAAATAAAACACAAAACAAACTGTAACAATTGTGATCTCAAGTTTAAAACTGACAGTTGTTTGTATTTCCATTCAGTAATGATGTACCCAGTTCATAGTGAACGGATCATGTTAAATAATGATAAATAATGATAAATGTTGTAAGTAATAGCTAGCTAGCGAAATCATTCTTTGTGGCTAACACATCTGAATCTGAAGTGGTGATACGTTTGGAGTCAAAGAATGAAACTTCACATGGGAACTGGCACTCTTAAAAAAAAAGGCTCCAAGAAAGAGTTCTTTGCAAAGATAGAATAGAATAGATAGAATAACCTTTTTTTGTTTTGTTTTTTAAAGAAACCATGAACCGTTAAGGTTTACGTCTTTAAAGTTTAACCCCAGGCTTGTTACATACTAAGGCTTATTATTCAGTAATTGTACAATTAATTCTAATTCTAGTAATTCTGCAATGCAAACTGGTTGAGTCATTCTCAGGTTTACAAACATGGTTCTTTAGGGAACCAAAAAGGTCCTTCTATATGCATTGTTCAAAAAACCGAGGCAAGGGGTACTTAAGGCAACAAAATGAGGTTAAAGGGGTTCAGCTGACACAACATTTTTGAAACCCTTGCTGTAAATAAATTGGTTTTCTCCACTTTTGAAGGACAAATGCTCCGAGCATCTTGCCCAACATCCTTAGACGAATCGGAGACACACCGCTGGTTCGCATCAACAAGATCAACAAGATGTTCGGACTCAAGTGTGAGCTGTGTGAGTACGCAGACAATACTTTCAGTCACAAAAACAGCCTATTGAGCTTTAATCGTGTAACTATGCAGTTAAACATTGCTTTAATAATATGCGCTTAAATTGTGTGTGTGTGTGTGTGTGTGTGTGTGTGTGTGTGTGTGTGTGTGTGTGTGTGTGCGTGTAGTGGCAAAATGTGAGTTCTTCAATGCGGGCGGCAGTGTGAAGGACAGGATCAGTCTGCGGATGGTGGAGGACGCAGAGAGAGCGGGTGTCCTCAAACCCGGAGACACTATTATAGAACCCACATCTGGAAACACTGGTAATCAGAGTGTGTGTGGGGGGAGGCCGGGGGGGTTGTTTGTCTGCGTGTGGGACATGATTTCTCACATACACTGTGTTTTGTGTAAAATGTCTGCTGTACTCATGATAGGCGTTATTGTCACTGTTGTTTTAGTCAGTAATCAATTTATCAAGTGATTATTTTGACAATTTGCTGTGTTTTTAAAAAGGCCAAAACTAGAAATCCTGTAAAAAGACTTAAAATATGAAGAAAATATTTGGGATGAGCCATATTTGATATTTTTCATGTACATAATCTCAGGATTGCCAGAACAAACATTTGTAAAATTTAGAAACTAGGTCCATCACCAGCATTATGAAGAAACATAAGACTTATTTAGGGTTGCAAATGCAGTAAAATGAATAAAATGCAGATTTTAGTTTAGTACATTCAGCACAGTGCATGCCAGCTCTTGTGTCTTTTGACAGTTTAGAAGTGGATTCCTACTGTATCAGACCTTAAATACACAAGAGATGACGATGCCTTTGATTAAAGATCCCAACCTAGCTGACCATAGGATACTGTTAAGCTGAATCAACATGGCTAAAATAAAGTTAAGCTCACTGAAAAAAAAACAAAACAACCTAAATAAAAATAAATTAAACTTTCAGAACTATAGTAACCCTTTATGAGGCTGTAAATTATGCATTATGATATGACAATTACTGCCAAATTATCATTGACGTAAATCTTTTATAGTATGACAATTAAAACACTGAACTCATTGTATAACATATAAAATTATTTACATGCAACAGTTGTGCTTACCTTCACATTAGATGTGACTAGTTCTGATGCCAGCATGTTATCTAATACATTGACTTTGATTGATGCTCTTGATAATTGGCCAAAACCACAGCATGAAGTCTGAAGTCTGGATTGTCAGTCAAAATGGTTTGTCACTGGATATGATTGCCTTAGGTTCACACGCAGCTGCTCCAGAGTGTCTCATTCTACTGGCAATGCTTTATATCTAGATCAGTGGAGATTATCTAAGCAATTGGACGCCTGTGACAGCAATGAATTCACTAATTAGAGGGGGTGTCTGGATGCTTTTGGATGATCAGGGTATATCATAGAGATTTAATGTGTTGCTGTTGATTTTCAGATGCTGGTCTAATACATAGACTTTTTGAAACTCTTTGTATCAGGTATTGGTCTTGCTCTGGCTGCTGCTGTTAAAGGCTACCGCTGTATCATTGTCATGCCTGAGAAGATGAGTTTGGAGAAGGTAAAGCATTATACTCTCCTATAACTATTGATATAATGATGGTGTTTGTTAAAATGAATAAAGTTTAAGTACAAAAAGATTTTCCACGGCTCTCTTCTAGAACTTAAGGAGACTTTATTGTATTGTGGCTAGATACGAAAGGTTAAAAAGCCTTTAGACACATGACGTCCCCTTTTGGTGGCTTTTTTACTCTGAATTGTATTCAAGTTGGAGAATAACCAGTAAGTTTGTGTTCAGGTGGACGTGTTGAGAGCTCTGGGAGCTGAGATTGTCCGAACTCCCACCAGCGCCCGTTTTGATTCGCCCGAGTCCCATGTGGGCGTGGCCTGGCGCCTGAAGAACGAAATCCCCAACTCACACATCCTGGATCAGTACCGCAACCCCAGCAACCCCCTGGCTCACTATGACACCACCGCCGAGGAGATACTGGAACAGTGCGATGGTTAGGACTTGTTTTCCCTCTAACTTTGTCTCTTACTCTATTCGAGAATTTGTTAGGCAATCTGCACAATTTTCTTCGATCAGACTAAAGTAGCCAACAAGTAACTGAAACTTATACCCCACCTGCATGCCTCAAATTGACTTGCTTTTGTGGTTTCTGACACTGTAAGACACACTGTACAAAGCTTAAGTTTCAATAATTGCTTCAGGTGCTGTTTTTAGCTATGTGATGTACTTTTGTTCATTTTTATAGACAACAGTACTTTGCACAGTGTCAGAAACAACATAAGCAAATCGATTTGATATTCTTAACAACACAACCCTTGATGATTTAGTAGCGTGACCATGTGTCCTTTTCTCCAGGAAATGTCCTGTTTTTGGGCTTTGTAATTTGCCTTATTTATTTACTTCTGACTTTCGGCACTTTTTAACAGGGTGTGGGTCTTAGAAGGGGCCGTTCACCTGCACTCTCTATTAGATTTGATTTAACTCTCATTGTTTGTGTTTGCAGAATATTTTGGAGATTTTAATACTCAATATTTTGCACAAAATTTGTCAGCCACATTAGCCTCAAAGCCTCAGTGCAAAACTAAAGAACCAAAGTTGTGGCTAATCGATTACAATGCGGTAAGAGGAAAATTGTGTAAACTTTTCCTTTATTTAAGCCAGTAACTAAATTATTTTTACTTTGTCTTTCATTACCTTGTGTCAGACTCACTCCTATTACCCCATTATCTTTACTCAGGGAAAGTGGACATGGTGGTAGCAGGAGCTGGCACAGGAGGCACGATCACCGGCATCGCCCGCAAACTGAAAGAAAAATGCCCAAATGTTAAGGTGAAGACCAGTGCCTACACCAGCTTCTAGACTTGACACGTGATACTTGATCGATAATTGTTTTGTGATAGGAAATGTTCGTGAAATTGCAAAAAAAGCACGGGGCCTCATTCACCAATATCTTCCCAAGTTTTTCCTTAAATTTGTTCTTGAGAAACTCTGATGGGCTGGCGACCTGTCCAGGGTGTTTCCTGCCTTCTGCCCAGTGAACCCCTGCGACCCAGGAGGATAAGTGGCTTAGATGAGTGCGTGAGTGAGTGATGGACTGACAAAAAGTCTATGTCCGAAACATGCAGGTTCTTAAATTGCAGAATTGTTCACACCTTTGTGCTCTTGAGTGTGTAGATTCTGTTCTTACCTGAGAACAAATTCCAAATAAGAAAACACTGGTGAATGTCAGAATCACCAAGAAAACTGCATAAGTGGGTTTTAAGAAGAAATTTCTTCCTGAGAACGGTTGGTGAATGAGGCCCCCTTTTAGTACTGTTCATTTACAGTTTGAAAGTATTTCATGTTTATCTTGAAGAACTTGTCTTACTAATGATTAATCATTTCATTATTTTATTGCTTCTTACTAATTAATTGAAGCCTGTCAAATTGCACAATAACAGGACCACATTAGAATACATTTAGACACGTATCTCCAATAACATTTTATTTTATTGCGAACACTGATCCCAAAGTTTTGAATGATAATGTGTTTGCACATACAGTCATATGCAGAAGTTTGGGTGCACCTGGTCAAATGACATGTTTAGATTTTCTAAGTAAAACATTCTCTACAGAGAACACACTTCTACACATTTTAATGAACAATTACAGTTTATTTGCTAAATTGAACATATTGTGGGAAAATATAAAATGTGGTCTGTGCAGACATTATGGCAAACTGTATATTGTATGCTTTATTTTTTACCAATATGTCAAACTCAGCAAATTAATAGAAACTGTGCAGTAAAAATTGCCCTATTTAGGGGGGGCAGGCGTGTTCACATGTTTGTATATGACTGTATATTCCACACTTATTTACTTACTTATTCATTTGCTTGTTTGTTTGAGGTTTTTGGGGTCTTTTGCCCTTTCGTCTAAATCTAAGCTGCCCCAGAGCTGTGGAGCTTGATTTTATTTTTGAATAACTGGATCGTTCCAAGCAAAGACTCATTCCTCCACTACTGCAAAGGGCAGCTGTAGTTTATATTGCAATGATAAAATATACAGACCACAAAAACATGGAAGCTGCTGTAAAGGGAAGAGGGTGGTGGGTAATTAAATAAAAATGACAGTGCAGTATGTTTGCTGTGTCAGATCATTGGTGTGGATCCAGAGGGGTCGATCCTGGCTGAGCCGGAGGAGCTGAATCAGACAGATAAGACGCAGTACGAGGTGGAGGGCATTGGCTATGATTTCATCCCAACTGTGCTGGACAGATCGGTGAGTGATCCCAGACAGCATCCCAAAGCACACAGTATACAATATAACATACAAATATTTTTTGTCAAACAAATCAAACGTTCTTTTGGCTGCACTAAACTATACTGCATCTGTTCACTATTTACGTCCTGTTTTTTCATTGGCCTTGTGGTGCTAAGTGCGTGACACTAATTTACGCCTCTTTAGCCTGGTAACGTGAACGTAGCCAGTTGTGGCCATCCCGTTAATATGAGATGCAATATCAGCTGCCTATGTGCCGAATGTCCCTGCGGTTCTACATCAAATGCTCAGTCAAGAACATATTTATAAATAACAAGATAATACATAATCAAACGTAATTAGGTAATATATGAATATATATGTATATATTAATATCTATGTATTTTAATTAAACCCATTCCTAATAACCCTAGAGCTTGGTGATGTTCTTTTTTTCTTTTTTTTTAAATTCTAAGTTTGTTGTACTTTTAAATCACCACTAGATGTCAGTGCTAGTGCAAATACAGTCTGTTAGTCAGCACATGGACTGATTTTCTCCAGCGGTCTGTTTCCCTAAGTTTGGAAATATGTGCCATGCATGATTACTTCTTTCATTTCTCCATCTATTTATCTTTTTCTTTGATTTCCTCTTTTAAGCACACAATTTCGACTGAAAGATTAGCACAAAACACCATACTGCTATATAAAAGACCAAATACAAATATGATTATTTGTGCCCAAAATTTCAAGATCTCAACCAACATCACTTTTGTTTCTCTGTATTTTTGTTACTCTTTAAGGTTGTGGACCGCTGGTACAAGTCCAACGATGAAGAGTCTTTTGCTATGGCTCGCATGCTCATCAGAGACGAGGGGCTGCTATGTGGTACGATGTGCTAATTTCAGTTCCTCTAAAACATGTTATCAGTGTTTTTATACTCTAATACCTGAAGAAATGAGGAAAATAAAAAAACGGTATCCCATGTCAAGGCATATTGCGAAAGTAAAGGCTGTTTGTTATCCTTTGCATAATGTTTAAGCAGAATATGTTAAATATGGAAAGGGTTCATTTTCAGGCACCAAGCTTATCTTTCTCATCACCAAGCATGACTTGATTGCTTGACTTTGGGGTACGAATGAAAATGTGTAAATCGTTTCTTTCGCCCATTCCTTTAGTGTACAGAATGGCTGCTCTAATTTAATCTGTATTGGATGAACTATATGGGAAGGGCAGCCCTTTTTATACTCAGCCTCCTTATATGAGGGAGATTATAAGTAACTCACATAATCTCCTATAAAATCGTCATGTTTTGTATTTGGTTGGAAATTAAACAGCCTCTAAAAAGTCTGCCACCCAGAGACACTATAAATCTTCCCCTATAATATTCAGCTAGGCCTGAAAAGCAGACATTCATTTTGGCATTTTTGCCTTCAGTCTTCATTATTCATTTAACTGCATCTGAGCAGTTAAGATCAAAGTCCTTTTAGAAAAGTCTGAACCCAAGGCGGCCAGCTTGTCAACACTGCCGGACAGGTTAACGACCATATAAGACCAAACTCCTCTCTCTTTGAATGGGGATAGACCAAAACACTCGAAACTGATGGTCAGATTACTGTTTAAAAACATAATTTGAAATCACTGGTAAAATCTGACAAAATCTCATGAATAGTTTTTTACTGTTTGGCTCAATAAATGCATATTTTTCGGGTTGTTCTGGCTGCACTGGCAGAGATCTCCAAAACTGAGGGGGTGCTTTCCTGCTAGTGGTGTAACCAGCAAGCCAACTAGCTCTTTTTATTGAAGGGCAGGACTTTAACAGCCCACAGATGCCATGTTGAGCGTCACAAGCTTTCCCATTCCTTCTCCAGCCAGTGACCTGTCTCTTCCTTTATAGCTTCTCTATTAAGATGCTTCTGTGCACTTCAGAACATTTACAGACTAATAATCTTTTGCACAATATTTGAGTAGAATAAATTAAATAAGGAAACTCTAGACCCTCCAGCTTGTTGTCAAATTTACAGTAAATTAAAGAAGTATAAATATTAGCATGCTAGCTGAGAAAGTATTAGCATAACTAATTATAAACAGAAATGTATTGCTCAGCTAACTTGGCTCCCATAGGCATTGTTGTCCAGACTGTGAGTCTGATTTAATGCAGTAGTTTGGTAGTTTTGAAGTGTTTTTCTTTTCTTTTTATTTATGTGTCCAAAGTTTGCTTCCATAGCTATAAGGCTAATGTAGCTAGGTAACAAGCAATAGAAGGTTCTCCCTGTTATTACTGTTGAAACTTGTCAGTAACACATCGCAAATCTAACAACAGCCATTTGAAAGCTTTAATTTTTTTTATAATTTTCCATTTTTATAGATAACAGCATGTCATACAGTGTCAGAAGGCACAGTTGTGATTATTGGGGCAGTATTAGCTTCCATTGCTTGTTAGCTGCGTTAGCCGTGTAGCTCAAAACTGAGGACGCAAACTTCAGACACCAAACTGACCGACCACATTCGGTTAAAGGGAAACTGTGTAAATATAAGCTTTGCACGGACTACAGCTTTAAGGTCTCTTCTTACTCTCTTTAGGTGGTAGCTCAGGCACAGCCATGGCGGCAGCAGTGAAGGTGGCCAAGGAGCTGAAGGAGGGTCAGCGCTGCGTGGTCATCCTCCCTGACTCCATCCGCAACTACATGTAAGGAGAACATGAGAGAGAAACGGGTGGATTAGGGTGGAGTGCCCCCCCCCAGTGAAACCTATACTGTAGAAGAAATGTTGTGAAACACTTGCGGCTTCAGAGGCTTTGTTTATATCACTTGTTTTTGTGTGTGTGTGTGTGTGTGTGTGTGTGTGTGTGTGTGTGTGTGTGTGTGTGTGGTGTGTGGTGTGTTTTGTGGTTGTGATAAGATGAGGGCAACTATTTATTTTGTCCCTTTCTTCTCCAGGTCCAAGTTCCTGAGCGACAAATGGATGTTCCAGAAAGGCTTTCTCACAGAAGAAGACTTCATGGTTACCAAGCCCTGGTGAGACCTTTTTATTTTTATTTATTTATTTATTTATCTATTTATTTTTAATTCCTTTTATATGTGTATTTTATTTTTTAGAATTCGATTGACAAAGACATTTGTTTACTTCTTTAGTTTAGCACTGGAGCTACAAGGCTACTTCGGTTTTTGAGCTTTATTTACACGACAAGAAAAAGTGTGTAAATTTTGGTTTTTCAGTGAACCTTTTTAACGTACGGGATGTCTGCTTTAACCTATATTGGATGAACTGTATGGGAGTGTCACACCTTTTTATACACCGTGCCCTCATATCAGGGAGATTATGAGTTACTTATAATCTTAAATAAAATTGTCATGTTTATCACTTGGTTGCAATTTCGAATCCTCTAAAACGTCTATCCCCCATGGTCACTATACATCTTCCTCTATAATGCTCTGCTAGGCCTGAAAAGCAGACTTTCATTGTGTGCTTTATTAGGAGGCTTTTTGCCTTCAGTCTTAAGTAAGGGAATTGCATTTAACTGCATCTGAGCAGTTAAGATGCTTCTGTACACTTCAGAACCAGCTGCTGACATTCACATACACATAATCATTAAAGGCAAGTGATAGGAGCCATGCATGAAGTACTGTCCAGAATTACTAGTGAACCTACATAGTAGTAAATCTGTAGGTTTTTTGTACTATTTTTCCATTTAACACCTTGTGTGTACCTCTCTGTTATGAATGGATTTTAAAAATATACATTTTAGCCCAAAGCCTTATCTCAAAAATATCATGAAACAGTGTCTCAGGCATCAGACCGCAAATTTGCACTTTGCATGTCTAGTTCCTGTCATTACTGTTGCAAGCAATTCTTTCTAGAACAAAGCATTTTACATCAAACCACTCTGAATGACTTTGTTTACGTCTTACTAATTGAATTATGCAGAAATACTGAAAAAATCAGTGGAGTTCCCCTTTAACCTCATAGTCATGATGTACCACTGCCAAAAAATGGCTGATGTCCAGTTACCTGAGCGCTGCATTGTAGTGATGAATAGTGCCAGTCGTTGTGAGAGAGTTGTAGGTTTAGCTCTAGCGTAATGATAATGCCATGAAGCTGTTTCACATTGTTTCATTTTCTTACTTCCTTTCTGTCTGTCTGTCTTTTAGGTGGTGGAATCTCAGGTTGCAGAGTTTGAACCTCTCTGCTCCTCTCACAGTTCTGCCCACAGTAACCTGTCAAAAAACAATCAAGATCCTGAAAGAAAAGGGTTTTGACCAAGCGCCAGTCGTGGATGAGTCTGGGTGAGTCTCACACAATGATAAACACACAATGTTCTGAGCTCTTCCATTATGATTTTCACTTTGTTTAGGTTATTGTTTGTGTATATTGTAATAAATTGCAATTACAGCGAAGCCTTCATTTCAAAAAATTGGTCAAAAATGAGACCCAACTCTATGACAATGTTTTTTTTCTGTTATGCAACCTTTATGGGATTTGTAATAGTATGTTAGCAGTAAGCAATTTTTTTTGTAATAGTGATTCATTGTTTTATTTTAAGTTAATAACAAACTCATTAACATATATTCAACTGTGTAGCAGTTTAATTGTGACTTTTTCACTGAAGAGCTCTTATATAGAGCTGCCACTGTTTTCCATTTCTAACAACTAATTAAATCCTGGCTGGACTACAGTTCTTGTTCACCGTCAATGATGCATCTAAAACTTCTAGAAGGTCTAGAGTGACTTCTTTCTACCAGTAAATCAAAATGTGATTGGTTGATTAAATATCATTTCCTAATTTTGTTGGTAGTTAATCTGATGTGTAAAGCCATCAGATCAGCTCCTGAATTCGCTAGGCTGTATCTGTCTGCATGCCACAGCAAAAAAGCGACTGGACATTTCTCTGGGTATTTCAAAGGTTTAACCATTTTATTTCAAACCAAAGCTCAATAACTGAATAGAATTATTTCTACAGTACTTTGTAAATAATACATTTAAACAAAACAATAGGTTTAAATAAACAAGCATGATGACTCTATTAAATAAAACTATGAATTACAGACAAATACATTTTTTTACTTCCCAGAAATTATTAGGCCGTCTCCGAAGACCTAGAAGTGTCTGAAGGTTTGCCACTGATGTTTATAAGCAGACACATCTTTCATTATGTTATCATTTAACCTCTTATGATCTCCGAAAGCTGCATATTTGCTCACATTTCAGTTCCTTACTTTAAACTATGTAATTTGTGTGTTAGTTTCAAAGTCAGTACTCAATCATTTATAGTAGTTTGGGAATAATAAGTCTTAAGGTCATTTACTGAACAATAAACCTACAGTATAAGGAACTGAGAATAGCACAGCTAAGCCTCACTCTCTCTTTAATTAGATACTTGAAAAGGTAAAAGTGCCTTTGATTCATTTAGTATTGTCTCTGCTGTGTGTTTAGGGTGATTCTTGGTATGGTGACTCTGGGGAACATGTTGGCGTCAGTGCTGGCTGGAAAAGTCAAGCCCTCTGACCCTGTCAGCAAAGTGCTCTACAAGCAGTTCAAACAGGTGAGTCACACGCACCCACTCAGCTGTGGTCAGTATATGATTATCTGCCAGCACTGTGCTCTTAAAGTTAAAGGTTCCTAAATGGCTCTTAGCCTGGACGTGCAGTTCTGGGGAAAGCTTTTAATTAGTATAAAACCTTGGCATGGAAGTTTTTAAACAGTAAAAAAGTTCTTCACACTCACACATCTACACATCATTTACAAAACCATGTCTTCAAAGAACCATCTACCGCTGGGGAGGTCTTATCCGCAAAGGGCCGTTGTGGCTGCGGGTTTTCACACCAAACAAGCTGGAGCACACCTGATTCTACTTGTTTAATCAGTTGGTTTCAGTCTTCAAACAGCTGCTGCTTTGTTGGAGTGAAAACCTGCAGCCTTTGTGGCTAAGATTGGACACCCTTGATCTACTAAAAGGTTTCTTAGGGAGCTAAAAGAAGGATTGCTATATATTTTGGCGCCTTTATTTTTTAAATTATATATCGTCACTGTAAAAAAACAAGTGTCTCCAAAATGATGACTCTACAGGAGAACACAAAAATGCTCTTTACTTTAAATGTAAGTCAATGAAATGAGGTTTTTTCCTTGTAATTTTGGAACATGTTTATTGGTCCATTCATAACAAAATTTTGACAGAAAAATGGAAGGATTTTTTTTGACTGTGACAGTATTTATGTACAATGGTTCTGCAGAAAATATAGTTGTTTGAAATTACAGCTAACAAGTTCTTTCTCTCAGATACGTCTGACTGATAACCTGGGGAAGCTCTCTCGGATCCTGGAGACGGATCACTTCGCCCTGGTGGTGCATGAACAGATTCAGTGTGAGTAGAGATGGAACAATAACTTTCTTTCTATACCAACATTGACACTTTTGAGGATATTTCTTCTTAAAAACTTCTAAGCTTTAAAAGGAGTTGTTTTATTTGAAGCACTTCTCTTAAGATCTTCTCTTAAGCATCTAAAAGTAGGCTATCATGTCCAAACTACTCGACTACTTGACCACCCAACAGGAAGAAATACACTGCTAACTCCATCACATCTAACAGTGCGTGCTCTTTCAAGGGGAGATTTCTGCTCAGAACTTGATCATCAGATTCATTCTTTTTTATATAATCACCAAATGTGAGTGATCTTTCTTAGAAAATCCTCACTACTAGGGCTGCACAGTATTTTTTTGTGAATCATTGTCATGCTACTGGCCTTTACAGTACTCCAATCACAGAATGCTGCAATATGCCTCTCAAGAAAGCAAATCAACATGATATTTTCATTTATTTTCTCAAAGACCTCAAGATGTGTTTGTCATTATCATGACATAATGGATGTTATCTCAATAAAACAGTGTCCATAATGCCATGACTAATAATATAAATGACTTGAAAACTCTATAAATTAACATGCAATTTGCCATAATAATGACATAAATATCATTAGATTTCAAGAAAAGTAAATAACTCACTATCATGTAAAAAAAAATCATGTATCATGAAATGTTTTTCCATATCACTCACACCTACTGATTCACCAGAGCATTTTTAATATATTGCAAAGCGTTACAGATTTACATAGCAATATAATAGAAATACAAGAACTTCGTCTATCAGCTGTAGCCAACACTCATCCATTCACTGCATTAGTATCATAACTGAACTGAAGTATCTTCTCCACAGATAAGCATGTTTGTTCAAACTGAAGCTGCAGTTAGACTGTTATTTCTAATGCCTGTGCAAGCCACCGTGCTTTTACGTCAGTGTTGCATAAGTAAGGATGTCATCTTACCCTTTTAAACAAACACTCCTTATTCGAGTGAATGAGCGAATGTTCTTATGGAGGTAAATGTGTCAACTGGATGTTCTGTTTAGATCCAGTGAGCTCTTTTAATTGGCTCCTGTAGTTCTTAACCCAGTTTGTGTCTCTCCTCGCCTGGCCAATCACTGTGATCTAAAAAGTTGTTTTCCCCTCTTTTGCGATGTGGAGTTTTCAGTTACAACCGTCCTGAACGTCCTGTGCTTTAACTTAGCTGTACATAATTCCTCCATTTTTTTTGCTGTCTGTTCCTGTTTACACCTCCATCTACTAACTCATACAGGACTGTGCAAAAGTAATAGATCACCTTTCATTTATTTAATTTCCAGCCATGGCCAGTTATTTTTCTTTCGCCATGTATTTAGAAACATATATTGAACAGGATGTTACACTGCAGCCACAACAACTAATATATATATATATATATATATATATATATATATATATGTATGTATGTATGTATGTATGTATGTATGTATGTATGTACAGTGTATGATTTGAGTATTTAATGTGTTCACTTTTTGACTTTATTACAGCTTCAGTTCTTTTCAGAAGAAGACTTATTTTCAGTTTTTCAAAGCAATCTACAGGGATATTTTTCCACACTTCTAAGGTTCAGTCTTAGAAGTTCTTTGCATTTTCTGCTTTTCAAGATCTAAGTAATCACAAACACATTCAGTGATGTTAAGGTCTGGACTCTGAGGTGGTCAGTCCACTGTTCTGAGAACACCAGCAGCTTCTTTGTTTGATTTGCAACTACTATGTGTTCTGCTATTTTGGAAATTTACATATTTTAGTAATGGCTTTTTGACAGCTACACATCCTTTCAGACTCATAGTGTTGAGTTGTCTTCTCACAATGGGAGGATGAACAGAAACACCTGTGTTTTTGTTTGTCCATATCTTTTTAAACTTCTGATGCTGCTAGACTTTCCCCTTCCTTTTGCAAGTGGATCACCTTATATCTAATCTCTTCAGAAGTATCACCTGGAAAATAAATAACTTGTACTTAATGGTTGTTTTGACTGGAAAGTAAATAAATGACGGGGGGTCTCTGACTTTGGCCCTGTACTATATGGCTGTTTAGAATAGGGGTGGCGAACTGCGGCCCTGGAGGAGCACAGTTCGGTGATTTTCCTGCTCTTAACACGCCTACTAAATCCTGCAGGTAGCTGCTCAATCAAGTGTGTTTGAGTAGGAAGACCACCAAACTGTGCAGGACTTCGGCTTTCCAGGACTGGAGTTTGCCAACTCTAGTTTAGAGGAATGGTTTGGAACAAATTGCAAGCATTTCTAATATTTCTAATTTATGCAGATAAGGTCAAACTAACTGATCCTCTACTAACGTTTCATTCATTGTTTGCACATCTTATCCTTCTGGGGATAGTTTATTAAGCTCCTCCTGGATCTGATGTCCATGCTCCTTTATCTGTGACAGTATTTGTGTTCTGACTGTCTCTGTTCTTCTCAGATTTGACAGACGGGTCCACCAGTCTGAGGCAGATGGTGTTTGGAGTAGTGACGGCCATAGACCTGCTCAACTTCGTCACCGCCCGCGAGAGACGAGAGAGATCGTTGTCTGAATCCACAGACGAACTGTGATTAGCCCTCTGTTTGAACACTTCCTGCCTCTTAACCAGTGACTACGTGTGGTATGATGCCTTATGAGTCCCCTGATATAATTTTTATATTCAGAGAACTCCTCTATAAATTCTTCCAGGTTTTAATTTTGAAAATGCAAGAACTGGAATCTAGGAGAGGCAAATGTTTTGCGCGGCATCAGCATGTGGACATGCGGTTACATATCTTGTGTAAAAAATTTATGCTTGATGTAAGAGGATCTGGTCACAACCATATGTCTGAAATGAATTAAGACACCATATAGGTAAAAAAATAAATACAGTAAATATATGCATTCCCTTATTTCAGTTCCTCTGACTCATCTAATGAGTCTATATGAGGAAAATAAGAGATGCAGGTTGCGGAGGGGATATATAATGATGTGCCACACCGGCTATAGCTCGTCTATGGGTTAAGAGTCATGAGTCAAAATTATTCTGTGAACCCAGAATTTACAACATTCTGTAGAGCAAGTTTTTTCTCACATTACTTGGCACCATCTGCCATGATGGCAAACATCTTCCAAAGGACTTTTAAACACCTAAGAAGCTTAAAGAAGCCAGACTAAATTTCTCAGATCAGGGCCTCACTTTTTTTTTTTTTTAAGCAGTATTGGATTGTTTATTATTGTTGCCTTCATTTTCCAGATCAGGTGTGTTGGATCAGGGTTGGAGTTAAATTCTGAATGATGGTAGATCTCCAGGACCAGGATTGGGCACCCCCAATATCCCTGTTGTATACTTAATCTCAATTCTTCTTTTCGTCCCTTTCCATTTATTTGAAAGTCTAGAGGCAGTGTTCCATAAATACTAGTAAATGTCAGCTAAGGTTACAGTGTTATCTGCCTCTGCTAAGAAAAAAAAAGCCAAAAGCTCTTCAGATGCACTTATCTGCTCATGAAAGATGCAGCTGTGCAGAATGTTAAATTTTTTTCTCTCAATAAAATAGCCTTATCTGTTTTTTTTTCCTTTTTTATTTATTATAAGGAAATTCCCCTACAGCTAGCTGGGATGTTTTACCCTTCCCTTTGTGGCTGTCAAAGGTCAAACATATTGGTTTGATAAGTGCACCACAGAACGGATTTTGTAGGAGGCTGTTGTAAGAAAACTCTTGTAAAGAGACAATCAATAAAGAGTAAATAAAGTTATTTGTGTTTGAACCTCATTGCAGATAGATTTAGAGCCTGGATATCTACTCCAATAAAAATGTACACTGTCAAAATACTTTCCATATACAGTAAGGTCCAAAAGTCTGAGACTACACTGGTGGATTTCCACTTTGAAATGTCCCCCCTTTTGCTTTAAAGACCCTCTCCAGGCATCAATGGAACCCCTAAAAATCCATCTCGTGTTCATCAAAATGACATTTTGAAGTTATTTCCATTAAAAAAGTCCCTTAATGCCTTAAAAGTTGCTTAGATGGAACTCCACACCTTTGCCTTCGTTCAGTATGTGTAGATCTATGAATATGCAAATTCATAAGTTGTGTTTTGCTAGTCTCTATTTTTTGAGTGAAACTGACAAAACAGTCTTGGCTACTGCAAATCCCAGGTTGCTCTCGAAGTTTGGGACAGTCCGATTTTTCCGAATAAACTGCACCCGGTTTTTATTTTTAGATTCTTTGGTAACATATGAAGGCTCACAGAACCTGTCACTGCCATCATTTTGAAAAAATGTAAAACTTAATACAGCATGTAGCTACACCTGACTCTGATAAACCTCGTTCTACCTTATTATTATGCAAATTTTTTTTAAAGGCTCACCCGCCCCTGGACGGGATGGGTTCCTTAGGGTTATGACATGCGAAACCTGACTGCCTGAATCTGCCTCTTTGAGACTGTCACTGGTGCACTGCAGTTTCAAAGCAGAAATACTCAACCATGGCACTGACTACTTATTTCACTCATGATGTGTCTTCTAGCATATAAAAGACACCACGTGGACTTGCTAACAAGTTTGAAAGCTTGATTTTCACCAGAGCGCGTCTTTAATGACAGCATGCACTCGTGCTGCATGGACTCCAAGTTTGTGCAAAAGCCTAGAGTAGATCCTACTGGGAATCATCTGAACACAAACTTCAGTGCAAGAGATTAATCAATCTGACCTTTTTGTGCCAAGGCCTTAACATGGTCAACACCACAAATGTACTTAAATTTGAACAGTGACCTAGTAAAAGTGCAGAATACTGAATATTTCTTAATTTAATTTGTCATAACTTTTCCTTGGGTTAAATTTTTCACACTTCAAAATCTTTGTCCTTTTTTGGGTTTAAAAGAAAAAAAATCTAACTTTTGGACCCCATTTTGTGCATACGTGTGTGTGTGTGTGTGTGTGTGTATGTGTATATATATATATATATATATATATATATATATATATATATATATATGTATGTATGTATGTATGTATGTTATGCCGATCAGGCATAACTATACTTTGTAGTCCATCTGTTTCTCTGCATATTTTGTTACATATATATACACACATACGGTTGGCTGATATATTGATAACGGTCAGATTCAAACTTGTGATTCAAAAGTATTCAAAGTCCTGATGTCACACTGATAGGACAAAAACCTTAAGATGCATGCTCCAATGCAGAACAATTCAGAAAATGTAACCCCTTAAAGTTGGTATTGCAATTCACCACAACATTTGCATATCGATTAGGACCTAATATTAACCAACACAATAATAGACAAACCAAGACGCCTCTGGGAGAACGGAGGAAACATAACCAGTGCTAAAATTTGTAAAAGATACGGTGGACCACCAATTTTGTTGGGCATATGTTAGATGTGAAACCTGGTAGAAAGAAGTTCAACAAGCAAAATCAGCCCTTTGAAAGAGACAGATATCATACACCAGTCTGCCTGTACACACCAGTTCCAATCAGCCCTCTAGCGAGACTGACAGTCTCATGTTGTGGCCCATTGAGAAAAAGCTACAACCGATCAAAAAGCTGCTGAGTGAGCTAAAACGAGGCCAGAGCTTAACTGCCCGTAACATCCGGCCCCTGACCACCCCTGTGGAAAACACCCCAGCCAAGCAACCAAGCCTCCGTCCTCTTGGCCCACACACCCCTCCCTCAGCTGCCTCATGTTTGCCGTGGCCCTGGGCTCTCTGGGCTGGAAAAAGGGCCTCGCTGGTGCTTTTCGGTTAAGCCTCTCCAGCGTGTCAAGCAAAAGCCCCTGGGGATTACCTTAATGCTGCCCCACATGGCCCAGAGGGGAAGTCATCAGATGTGGGATCAGGCTGATGGGAGAGTCCTGGGCCGACCGTTCTGAACATAAGCTAGATAGACACCCAGACCACACATATACGCTGAACGTGTGTTTGTTAAGGTCTGTTAAGGTCTACAGTAAGCCGATTGTGCTGTGATGCAATGTTTTGGCGGTGGTTTCAGAGCGTCCTACCTGACAAACACAGAGTCTCACGTGAGACAAGTTGTTATAGGAAGTTCACATTTTAGTGCCCTGTGAAACCATCAATATAGAACATAAACTGAATGTAAATAGAATTAATTGCATAACTTACAATGTAATTAATATGTAATTACATAGTTACATATGCTAGTATGTAGTAATAATGATAGTAATAACTCAACCTCTGAGGGTTATTTGGGAGGTGAGGTGACTTTATTTTAACTACTCTGTCTTTTGTTAATGTGGGCCAATCTCATACCTTTGACTCTCTGTTCCTTGTAATGTTCTCCCTCATCTCAGGACATAATTAGCTTTTTAGCTAATATTTAGCAAATTATTTTTGGTTAAGTAAGCATATTTTTTGGCATGTTATCACCATCATGAAAATTACATATAAAAACTCATTGATTATTTTGGATAGAAAATAAACTGGCAATATTCACAACCCCTGGTTCGTGTCACCATCACTCTGAAGAAATCTGAGTGGGTAAGTGTCTCTACAACTACCCACTTCACATTAAAACATTCTGAATGACATTGTTTACCACACTCATTGAATTTTGCAAAAGAATCAGTTGAATTTCCATAGTAAGTGATGCTGTGGTTACAATATGTACAGTGAAGGACATTAGAGTGGTAAAAAAATAAAGATATTGCCAGTATACGTGTTATATACAGAGTGAATGTAGAGAATAGCATATGTAAAATAAGAATGCAGAGTAAAAACATGTACAGTAACTGTCTGTGCAATGTTATAAATTGAGCTATTTTTAATTGAAGTGCTTCAGTTAAGTTGAGCATTTAAAAGTAAGGCAGCATGTTCTGCTAATATCACACCGAAACCAACCTGGTACCTGGTATCAGACTGGAACAATTTCTTCTTTCCATGTTTTGCTCTTTCTGTATACATGTGAAGTTCAGAACGTATAGTTGCTTTTAATGTAGTGCTTAAGGCTGGAAATCTGTGGCCTACCTGTTTACTCTGTGCCTTTTGAATAGATACAGGAACCCCATTGATGGTGAGTGGCCTTCTGTGCAGTATAGGAATGTGTAACATTCACCTCCTAATCCCTGCTCTTTATCAGCATCAGGCCCCTGCAGTTGTGCTGGTCCAGGCATTATGTAATCTGTATAATGTATGTCAATATATGTATTTAGTGGTGTATAAGGGTTGTTTTTTGGTGTGATCATCTGTATAGACAACTGTTCAGAGCATCTCCACCCAAACCACCATGCACAGCAATAGGAAGTGGCCTTTATGGCAGTGATACTCTTCAGTTGACAGACCATGACCCACTCCTGAATCCCCCTCCACCCCTCCAAGCTTGAGGTCCAGTTTGTTTTGGCAGCTGCTCACTTTCCGGCGGTGGCATAGGCTGGCAACCGTGCCACTGCCTGGAGCCGTCCAGGGCCAGACTGTCGTCCGCAGGTCAGTGATTCTGCTGACACCGGCGTTCCCACCATGAGCTAATGCCATTCCAGAGAGATCCCAGTGTAAGCCCCTCTTTCTGCCACTCACCTATATAAAGGCCGGGGGTGGCCACGGCTGAAGGTAGCACGCACCGTTCGTGGATCCCTGCCCACTTGCACAGCCTTCCACAGCCTCCTTACATCTCCCTCCAGTGGTCTTGTTCTTCTCAGTCAAATCCCAGTTCAAAGACTACACCAAGGGTGTCCCAGGCAGAGAGGCCGAGACTCGCCAAGACCTGCTAAGCAACTCCAGTCCAAGTTAAGCCAAGCCAAGTCATTATGGATATTGCCATTCAGTACCCCTGGTTCCGACGCGCCCTGGGCTACCCCTCCCGACTCTTTGACCAGTTCTTCGGGGAGGGCCTGTTCGACTTCGACCTCTTCCCTTATGCCACCTCCACCATCAGCCCTTACTACCGGTACTCGCTCTTCCGCAACTTCCTGGAGTCCTCCAACTCTGGCATCTCTGAGGTAAGCAGCTGGTTGGCTTTGTGACCATGTTGGTTGTACGTGTATTCCAAGGGTTGCTCATGGAGCCTTTGCAGCAGTTAAAGAGGTTTTTGATGCTGAGACGTTCAATGACTTGCTTAAGGTTGTAGTGGAGCTGAGGGAAGAAATGAAGTAGGCTATCCAACCGAAAGTGCATTTGAATGTGAATAACTCATATAAAAGGTGGCTGTATCATGACAGTATTGCTGATGACCGACAAAAGATTACAGGTTGTATAAGACAAATATGTTGTGTTACCTGTCATTCAGAGTGAAGTTCTGCCTTTAAGCACCTCACATGACATCGCATTGTCATTTGTTGAATGGCTACATTTGAAAACACTCAAACGTCTTTCTATTTCACAGACCAAAAGAAGTTCTTGTGCTCCACTGAAGTAGTTTGACATTTTGTACTATCCTAACTGTCATAAGGGCTTGTGTCCACTGTATAGTTCAAGCTTTTTGCTTTTCTCCAAAATTCTGGAGATCTGCAAAAATGTCTTCTGCTTTGATTCCTTCGTATCAAAGCTTCCTTTGGTTCTTCTCTAGGTGAGGTCTGACAGAGAGAAGTTCACAGTCTACCTGGATGTGAAGCACTTCTCCCCGGAGGAGCTTGATGTGAAGGTGGCAGACGACTACTTGGAGATCCATGGCAAGCATGGGGAGAGACAGGTGAGCCGTCAGGTGACCTTTACAGTAAGTCTAATGTTTGTTTAGAACTTGGCTTCAGGAAGAATTTCCACTCAAACCACAGTGCAAGTGGCTGCAAGTTGGTATTTAATTCAGTACTCTAACAGACATGTTTCCCCTTTTATTTGCAAACATCACTTGTACATTTTAACAAATGGCTCTTCAGTCTTCCATCTGAGCCATAGTTTTTTGTGCATAGCTCTTCCATTTATTTTGTACCTCTGCCTACATGGCAAAAAATATCTTGGCAAGTGAAAAACAACATAAATCTAGTCAATAACAGGACTAATTATGCTCTCTTTGTAATGAAACATGCAGTTGGAAAGTGTTTTTATGTACTAATGATAACGACAATATGCTCAGGAAAGCATATTATTACATATGTGATGTAATTTCTCACAATAACGATGCATATTGTCGTATTGCCCAGGCCTAAATGAAATGATCATATGCCATTGGCAGAGAATTGTGCTTGTTTCATGAAATAAATGAAATGTTTTGTCCTGTCCAGTTAGTTATATGGTCAAGGCACTTACAAAGTGAGTTAAGGGGACCATTGTTGTTTGGGGAGAGGGCCAAGTAAATCTGAGTATCATCTGCATAGTTGTGATATCTCATAGTCTTGTAGTATTTAGCCAAGACAGCATGTATAAATTGAATAAGAGTGGCTCAAGAATTGAACCCTGTGGGACACCACAAGTCACTGGCACTCTCTCAGAAATATTATTTTCAAGTTCCACAAAGTAGTCCCTTCCTTGCAGGTAGGAACTCAACAATTTTAGGACAGTTCCTGAGAGCCCGACCCAGTTCTCAAGACTAACTATAAGAATTTTATGGTCAGTGATGTCAAGGGAACACTGAGATCGAGCAGTAATAGAAAAGATATTTTTCCAGAGTCTGTATTTAAGTGAATGTCATTAATAACTTTAATTAGAGTGCTAGGATTAGGCCAAAAACCTGACTGAAATTTGTCTAGACAGCTATTTAAGGACAGAAACTCAGTAAGTTGCTTGAGGACGATTTTCTCAATATTTTTTCCAATGAAAGGTAGATTTAAAATCGGCCTGTAATTACTCAATAGTGTTGCTTCTAGATTTTTCTTTTTTAAGAGAAGTCTCAGGCAAGATATGGACCAGCAGCATTTAAAAAGAATAGAGTTTTGTGGACCTATATTATGAGTGCTGTGCAACCTGTGTATAAGAGAGAGGGAAAGAGTCATAGACAGCCAGCTGTCTGTTTGACAGACAGGCCTGTAGGGCTGAGTGACATAACAATTGCAGCGTCCTGTAATTTGCTCTCAGATCAGCGGACCAGCTTTCACAAGACATGTCTATATGCCATATCTGAAGGGCAGACAAGTCTCCAGTAGTCACATTCTTCATGATGGCCAATTGCTCCTCATCCTTCAGGGTTTTTTTTCTAAGTCAGAACGAATTTAACCAGACAGACTGAAAGATGGCATTATGATGACAGTGTGTCATGGTTGTGGATCTCTAATTGCCCTAGTAATGCTTCACTGCACTCATTCCTTGCTATTCAAGTTGCTGCTGGTGCATAGTGTAGCCCCAATAGTAGAAGTTCACTAGGTCAAATAGTTCTAGATCTCAGTCTTAGCAGCTACGGTTTCCAAAACTGAGAGCAGTATCCACTTGCTTTCCCAGAGAAAGCTCTTCCTGGATAATGGCTCTGTACTAAGTGTTTTTTCGTATTACGTTTTTACACGATACCATATACAGTCATTTGATTTTCCGTACTACAGAGGACTCAATGAAACCAATCAGACTTTTTATAAATCCATGACATGACTCATCCTTCAAACCTCATCATCATCGAATTCTTCCCTGCTGCTAAGACCTCAGTCTTTTTTCTACCTCGTTCCTTCTATAATTTGCTTTCCCGTCCCCTCCTCCCTTCCAACTCACCCCACCAACAGTTTATGCACATGGTTTAGCCTTAAGGGAGAGTGCAGATGAGGGAAAATCTCTTGGAATGTTTTCGGCGGATTGACGTCTTCTCTGCGTCACAGGCAGCCATCCTGTGGGACTCTGCAGGCTTGTGAATAATCTTTACAGGCTAAACTGCCTTTACCCTAAATCTGTCTCAGAGTGTGACCCACTCCATTGCAGATGCGTGCTGTTCATCAGGCAATCACTTAAATCTTGCTTGTTGTCTGTTGTCCAGTACAGTACTTAGTGCATGTGCAGAGATAAAAGGGTTTCAGCAACATTTTAAAGACATAATGAATGAATGTCTTTCAGATACAAGCATAACATGTAAACCTATGTGGCCACATGCCGTGGCCTTTAGTTGTTTTTCAATGTAAAGGTAAAAGCAGCTTTGTAAGTATGTCTATATCTTATGGTATCAGACCAGGGCATATCTACTGGTGAAAGGACAACAGACTCGCACTCCAACATGGTGTGTCTGTAGGGTTTTTAGTGTTGTATGAATGTGCCTGGCATCCAATAGTCTTGTAGGATGTGATCTCATAACGGAAACGTCTAGGGACAACCAGGAGAATTTTTGAGTGAAATGTGGGTGGGAACATAAACTTGTTAGGGCATAAATAAACTGAGTCGCCTTGTGAAGCTGGAGCTGACAGCTAGCCTGTTGTTAGCCCATGAATGTAACGTAAGCTAGCGAGGCTTAAAGCCTCCCCAAAAGCTCCAAATAATCACATAGATGTGAGTCATATGTGTGGAGGACACACTGCGTACAGGCAAAATAAATATTACCTCTGGAAAGGGAAAATAGCTCTGTTAGCTAATGATAGTGTGTCGCTAGTTAGCTTGTTTTACTTGTGTTATTGATTTGCGCTCCAGATGTTAAAAGAATATGGACTCGTGGAATGGACTCCTTGGCATGTCTGGACTAGGCATCTGTTAAATCCCCCTATTTCACCTCAAACAATCACTTTAGAGCCAAACTCTCCAACATCTTCTTCTTTATACCCGCGCCACTCTCCTCCTTTCCGCAGGATGACCACGGCTACATCTCCCGTGAGTTCCACCGCCGCTACCGCCTGCCCTCCAACGTGGACCAGTCGGCCGTCACCTGCACCCTGTCTCGCGACGGCCTGCTCACTGTCTACGGGCCCAAGACAGAGGGCTCAGAGACCGGCCGCGGAGATCGCAACATTCAAGTCACCCGTGATGACAAGACCAACGCTGCCCCCTCCTCTTAGGCAGTCTTAAATGGCTGGCGGAAAAGGGGGAGCAAGTGGGGGCTCAGCTGGGGGCCTTGGCTTCAAGCAAGGGGGTACCTCACAAGTAGGTTTGGCGGTTAGGTTATAAATGATCTAACCCCTTGCAGTTACTAAACCCTCTCCCCACTTTGCCCCTAAAGGTATCAATGTACATCTAGCCTAATACCCTCTTCTAGATCTTAGCTAAAAACTATGATTGTTAAGATGTTTGATTATCATACTAATGTGAGGAACAGATAAAGAGGAATGGTTGGGGTCTGGAAAGTTTGAGACAACCATTTGAAAGCTTCCCTTAATCCAAACCCCTCACCTTCTGGTCAATGACAGTCTCGTCTCAATCTTTTCTCATCTTCTCTACAGGATCACATGAACAAATCCAAAAAGGCCTTTTTGGCAGATTTCAGAAATGTGTTTGGCTACTCTTGCTAAACAGGAGTATGATGTCCTGCTCTGAGAGAGTACGTCAAAGCAGAGTGTAGAGGGTTTGGTTAAGGTTAAGTCTTGTTCTCCTCAAGGGGGTTTTGATCTGTAAGAGGCTCCAACACTGGGACCATCCAGCCGTCTGGCTAGTCTTCCTCACCTGTGTCCACTCTCTTCTCGCCCTATCTCTTTTGTCCCACTGACTTTTCTCTCCCTGTCTTGTAGCCTCTAGTTCTGCTTATAACAGCCCCTTTCCTGAGGGGTCTACTAAAAAAAAAAAATGATCACAATAAAGTTGTATCATTAACCAAGAGGCAAAAAATCTTGTCTTTTTATTCTATTACACCATACATGCCATGCTACTCCTATATCACAGGACAGGTCTTCAGAGAGCATTTCATTTAGTGAGCATAATTTAGTTAGAAACAAAATACTATGCATTACACCTGTAGTCTAGATAGATAAATTAAGATCAAATTATATTAGTTCAAGGGTCCACTGATGTACATCTTCACACTACAGTCCTCAAGAAAGGTTTACTTTGAGTTAAAGCACACTTTGACTTAGAACAGGTTTTCACAGTTAATTTAAGTCTGATGTTTGATGTACTAGATCGTTATCAGATAGTACTGCTACACTCTCAGTTTTCTAGGATAACTTTCCTATCTTGAAAAAAATTCTGCTAAGCAATGAGGCAAGTAGAAGAAGCCTCTGCGGAGGTGGTTCAGTCTGGGGTGTCACATCATTTAATGGACCAGGAACCCCTAGCATGACAGGAGACACGTGAAGACTTGGTAAACCTGGCTGACCAATCTCAGGATCTTAAAAGGGCCCACAAACTGTGCCTAAACCTTCGACAGGGAAGCCTTAGTCAGATGGGTATGCATAGCCTCCTATGCCCATTCACTCTAGTGGAACCAGCTGTCCACTGCAGGTAGAGTTGAATCAGGTCCCAGGGATACAAGGGATCCCAGACAACCTGAAAAGATGATTTAACAAAGCTTCAGCTGGTTGAAATGCTATGCTATCAGTCAACTGCTATTAGGATTTTGGAATGACCGTTAGCCTAGAGTGAGTTAGTTATACAGTCTACAGAAGGCCAGGGCCACAGCATCCAAGTTCCACTTTACTGGTTAAGACCATGCATGGGTTTTTACTCTGGGCACAGACGGAACAAGACTGAATTCTGAACAGCGTACACTGTATATCCAAAAGTATTCAGACACTTCTTCTAATTAGTGAATTCAGCTACTTTAATGTGAACCTATTGCTGGCACAGGCATCCAACTGAGCTCCATCCAAATACGTTTGGGATGAGTTGGAATGGAATTTGAGATCCAGAACAAATCAAAGCCTTACCAGAACAGGTGTTACTGCAGGAAAGGGTGGGGGGCAATTATTTTAATAGCCTTGGTTTCAGAAGAAATGTTGGGTGACCTGTTTTTGGACAGGTAATGTATGTGATTCAATAAATGCAAATATAATGTGCCAATGACAAAATAGTCAACAGGTTCTTATAACACTTTATACTATATTTGGTCATTCATAAAATACAATAGGAAGCATGCTTAGAGTGATTAAACACACAATATGTATAAATACAAGCATGGAAATTTCCCTTGTTATGAATAATAGTACTGATCAATCAGTCTGTCATTCATCATCAATCCAGTCCAACTAAAATACTTTCATATCAGGCAAAGCATGTAACACACATAGAATATTTTTGCTTATTCAAACAAACAAAAAAGAACCATATATATATGTGATATAGAACCTGTTTTTATTTTTTGCTGTTGTTACTTTTGCTTAATACTATTACTTGTTGAATATTCTCATGCATAAAATGAAAAATAAATAACTTTGGAAAAATATAAAAGTAAAATAATAATGGAAGACAGATTGTGTGCACTCATCTTCACTGAATTGATTGTCAGGATGCAAAATGTTTTTGACAAACTAATCTATAATGTGACAATCAGTGATAGACTTCTTTAAATATGTTGTTTAAGAAAAAAAAGAGGCCAATGTTGTTCCCCCGTTAGCAAGTTTGCATACTTGATAGCCATGTTCCTCTTTTCTCCCACAAAGCTCTGAACTGTCCAAATAGTGGCCCAAACAGACATGAGTGTCCATAATTACACCTGGTTGAACCTTTGTGATCACAGCCTTTATGTTTTATGTGGCCAGTTCACCAATATCGTCAGATTTACACAAATTACCCCTTATATCGTCACTGTCAAAAAACAAAAACAAACCAACAAAAAAGTATCTCTATTTTTTCCATTTGAGCACAGCAGCTGTCCTTTGCACTGTGCAAATGTTTCATGATGATAAGAGCAACATAAATGCTCCAAAACTGCTTGTAATAAAATCCCTTCACATTAACACTGAAACCCTGATAGTAAAAAACATTTTTGCCTTTTCCTGTAACATTGTTATTTTGGAGATACTTGTTTTTCTTTAGACAGCAACGATAAGTAGTCAGTCAGCCAAGGCAAATGTTGGTTTCCAAAGTTTGCTTCTTTAGCTTTGCACTAGAGTTATGAGGCTAATGTAGCTAACAAGTAATGGATACATACATGCCACCAATTAGCATCAGGCAAACTGAAGGCTAAATCATCACACACTTGGCTCAAACTGCATTGAGTCATTAACCCCTTACATGGCCATGAGTCTGCCGGCGGGCCCAAAGTTTACTTACACACTTCTGTAACCTAACAATAGCTTAACCCGTTGTATTGAAGTCCCTGTAGTTACTGAATAATAAGCCTTACTTTGTAATAAGCCTGGGATTTTGAGGGGTTAAGTCATCTTAGATTTACTCAGGTGTTTTCTGACGTTTCATGACATACTATAAAAAGAACAAAAGTATTTTTGCATAGTTAAAAACTGCAGTAGCAGTCGAGGTGAAGCCTAATTTTTTTCTTTACTTTTGTATCTTCCATTATTTGTTGTCTACCTTAGCCTCATACCTCCAGCGCAAAAGTAAACAACCTAAAACACCAAACATGTCATAGCTGATCTAATACATTTCAAGTAAGTGGATAATTGTGTAAAATTGATTTTTCACCAAGCTGTTGATTTTAATGCAGCCTTCCAGCACTGTCAGTGTGGGCAGCAAGGAGCCCCATTCTCCAACTGAATGCGAGACTGAAGCTGGGGCTGGGAGCTGGGGCTGATCTGCAGCTGGCTCTCCAGGAGCAGTGCGGCAGAATCCACCATGTTTGAAGATGAAGAGCTAGAAAAGGAGCACCAAGAGCTCGCCAGAGCTGACAGACAGGAAGAGTGTTGAGGGGGTGGTTCTTGTTGAGGGCAGAGCTGGCCAGGAGGAGGCTGAAGGTGACATGTCGGGTTAAGGTAGTGCCCCTGGTGTTCAGGGAGTGGTAGAGGAGGAGTCAAGAGATTCCCAAAGCCTAGGAATGGAGGAGCTGGGGACTGCCAGATGTGCTGCTGCTGAACGGCTGCAGTGGGAGGTGGATGAGAAGCGGGCACTTGTAGCAGCTGCTGATGACTGGGTTGATGAAGATGAAGATGAGTCATTCTGTATGAAGACAAAATAATAGTGCACTCTAAGAATGATCCATTAAAAGTTGCAGGAATTTCATTTCAGGAGACTTGCTTTCAGCTTACAAGTTTTCTGCTTCTCACAATCCAAGTAATCCCAAACAGATTCATGGATGTTGAGATCTGGACTCTAGTGGGCCCAGTCCACTGTTCTTAGAACACCACCAGCTTCTCTGTTTGATTTGCAAATTTCTTGTCTATTTTTTGTCTATTTTCTTTTCTCAGTAATGGCTTCTCGACAGCTACACATCTTTTCAGTGTCTTCTCACAGTGGAAGGATGGACAGAAACACTTGTGGATTGTTTCAGATCTGAATCAAGAGTGGAGCTTGATTTTCTCCTCTCTCAAAGATGAGTTTTAAGTTTTAAGTACTGTTTATCTGATGGTGACTGTTTTAGAGGTCTGCTAGGTCTTGCATGGTTGTCTATTAACCATCCTTCTCTGTTTTTACAATTCCTTTTCCTTTTGCATGTGGATTATTTTATATCTGCAAAATAGCGTCTGAAAAGTAACAATAACTTGTACTTAATGGCTGTATTGACTAGAAATTCCATAAATGAATGGTGGTCTCGAACTTTTGCACAGTACTGTAGGTCTATAGGGCCAAGGCTGGTGACCACTGGTCTAAAATGTACAAGCTTTCTTGAAGATATTTTAGTTTATGACAGCATGCTAACTGACAACATCAACTTTTATTTACTGTGAGCGTCACAGGAATGTTTGATTGAAGGCTTTGGGAGAATTAGGTCTAAACTCTCACCTCTGATGGTCCTGAAAGCTCCTTACTGGATTCCGAAGATGGTCCCGTGAATGAGTGTGAGTTGGAGAGCATGGTGATACTACAGAAACATTAGTGTCCTGTAGACTATGGAATGGGGGCCATGCATACTGTGGAGGTCGTTTGACTTTATTCAAGCCTTTTGTGAGAATGTTCTTCCTCAGCTGCTGGTGGAAGGCCCTCAGACCTACAAGAGGTGGGGGAGATCAAGAGTCACTGAACATTCCTTTGGTTAGAGTTTCCAATACTGAATATTAGGGGCGGATTTGCTAAGAAAGGTGCTAATTACAGACAGTTTACCAACACAATGTGCCAGTGGGAGCAGAGACTATAGCAGGTTATTTTGCATATGACTGTACGTGGATGAACTTCAGCGCCTCAAGAAAGTGGCTTTTCATGTTTTCATGGGGCTTTTCATGCTGGCGTGCATGTAAATTGGACTACCAATTTATATATCTGTTGTAAACATCTTGGTACAGTCTAGCTTCTTAGACTAACTACACTGTCAGAGAAAGGATACTTTACTAGTACATTTTTGTTTATCAAAGTATAAACAATGTAAACGTACCCTTGAAGGTACAACAGTCTTAAGGTCCCCATGGCACTGGGGGAAATGAGTAACTGCATGCACATGGAAGAACATTTTGTAGCATCTGTTGTGCTTTGCTCCCACTTCCCTGAATCTGATGATTGTCAGGCGTGTTAAAAGAGAATTTGAAAATAATAATTGAGCAGTCAATAATTGGTGAAGAATGTGTATTCCGAGGATGTAAGTGAATTATCTACTATTGTCATTATATCTTTATCAGTACTACGTTGATTTTGCGTTTGAGACCTAAACATCGAGCCAGAGTCTGTGCGTCTGACGTTAATACGTAAAGACTTATGACGCTGTCCGAAAAAAGCCTGCAAATTCCCTCCCGGCTCCTCTGACATTTTAGTTATTATTTCAGGATGACTTGCACAGCGCACACACACCGTATTTTAATGAGTTTTTTCTCCTGACTTAGTGATGCTTCTTCTTTCAGATTTATCGAAAAATAATATGTAGTGTAGCTTTAAAATAATGTACTCACAATGGAATACGGTACAATTATGTTGTCTAGCTAGAAGTACTGAAGATGTATAATAGAGGGTACCAACCAGTGAAGTGAGTGACAGTTTTCTGGTGTAAAAACTTTTTTTTTGTGTGTATAAAAAAAGTCAGCTGTCATGTAAATGTAGTTACTGATGTCAATATTAGGCTCTTTACGCAGACTCTGAAAACTTCTGACAGATGTTCCACATCAGTGTCCATCTGCCACTCCTAACTGTGGTTCTTTTAAATCAGTGGTCACCAATCCTGGCCCTGGAGATCTACCTTCCAGCAGAATGTTGTCCCAATCTGCCACACCTACTTCAGCTAACGAACTTCTTCAGAAGTCCTTGGCTGTATCAGATACATTAGTGGTTTAGGTGAGGAGGAGGCAGCATTTTAGATGCAAGCTGGAACTAAATTCTGCTAGATCTCCAAGAGTAAGGTTTGAGACCGCTGATCATAATGCTTACTGTTTGAAATACATCTGTGCAACTAAACACTTTAGTTATAGCAAGAATATCAGTTTTAATAATAACAGTCCATTTTTGACAGTATATTTGTGCAGTGTCTCGGACAGGGTTATGTAAATGTCTCTGAGCACATATGTAGTGTCAGTAAAGCCCAGTCTGATCTCACCTGGAGTAAGAGACGTGTCTGAGGCTCTTCTGCCCTCCTGGAAGCTGGGAACCTGCAGACTGTTCTGGAACCCCAGGACTGATGACTGAGTGAGAGGGGCTCTTACTGAGTTCTGTGAGAACGGGTGCAGCCCCTGGGGTTGGTGGGCAAAGAGATGTGTGCCTGCTTCTAAAATGGCACCGGCGGAAGTGAGAGAGGAGCTGGAGGCACTGGAGGAAGAGCAGAGTCTGGGACTGCCAGCTGAGGCAGCATCATCCACAAGGTCTACAACAATACCTAGAAACAGAAACAGAATGTAAGGGTTATTGTGAGATGTTACAGACCTCAGGTCATTAGTGACCCACCACTTCTATCTTCTATCTATCACAACTTTATCTACAAGGTGCTATGATTAGAGCTGTGTACTGTACAAAAATGTTTTAATACTCATACCAATACCATACCATACCAATAATTTGATAACCTCTTCAAGGATACTTTTTTGATCCCTTCTTTTATGTACAAAAACATTATACACAAATATGAAAAATACATAAAACATTAAATCTATACAGACCAATAGTGTCAGGCAATACTGATAACCTGTGGATTTACTGGTATAGGTGAAAATTATTGCCAGTAACTCTAAGTTGCTCCACCCACAGTGCCACAAAGAAATATGATTCAATAAAAAAAAAAACCTAAAAATTAAAATAAAAAAAAAACTAAAAATTACTGACATGCATTATTTATTCCACTGAAATCATTAGGCCTTCTCTAAATGCTTGCTGGGTTAGTGATAATGATAAAAGTGACTACTTAGGTTTTCAATACCAATGACCAGCACAAGCACTCCACCATGGTACGCATGTAAGGGTTTCATGGGTTTCTAGAAGTTCTTTTCTCTATGTAAGTGGGCTACAGTGCATAAAATAAGTACTCCATAAATCAATACATGACTCCTTACTTTGGACCTTTGTGATATTCAGCTCTTGTAACTGTACAGTACATAACAAGCTACTCACTTGGTGGGTGGCATGAGTGTTTGGAGGATGAAACTTCTGAGACAGTGTGTCGGCGTGTTGTGTTTCTGGATTCGGTGGTAAGATCAAGAGGCAATCCCTCTTCCACTTCCACAAAGTCTTTAGCTGGGGCCTTCTTGCTGACAGTAGTGTCCAACTGGATGCCTGGAGAGGCAGCGTTTCTGTACTCCACCTCT